AGATCTACTTTTCTGCTCTTGTCTAGCTCAGTAAACATGAATTGCAATTCGTCCCCTGAGTTACTCAGCAAGGCAATGTAATCGGCGAAACGCAGGCTACTAAGGTACTCTCCATTAACTCTTATCCCCAACTCTTTCCATTCTAGGCTATTTATGGCATAAATAGAGTCAAATGTCATGCTAGAAATACAGTGCAAATACGGTTTTCGGTTATGTTCATTTTTTGAGGAAAAAGAAAAGATTATACTTTTGGCTTGGACCGCCGGAAGCGGCGCGTCGAACTATTCGTCGAACATGGTAGTGCCTTCAGCAATGTGACAGTGTTCAATAGTGTGCTGCAAAGTGAAGTTCCTTACATGTTCCATTCAACAAAAGGTCAACGCACGTCGCTCTTTCCTTCTTAAAGTAAGTGGTGTACATAATTGTGTCCGAAGCATCTGAAAAGTTAAAAAGTTTTGTGAATATTCGAAAAAACCGGAAGCGAGTGGTCGACCGGAAGTGCTTGGAAGAGAATTGACGGTGTCACTCGTTGCTCGTGTGATAAAATAAAAAAAACGAGATAAGCATAAGGTTCGTTTGGAAGTGCCTGCTTTAGCATGGAAACCTCGGATACATATTCATGTTCTATTTGTACCTCTTGTTTACTTTGCAATATACGTATATCTGTCTTTTTGTGACACATTTCTGTGTGGCTGTGTTAGCGTGGAACATCGAATGTACATTTTTTTTCTTTCCTCGTCATCTCATATCCATGTTTATGTAAATGAAGTCTGTTTTGTCATCGTCGTTAATCTACGTCTAATAAGAAAATGTTCTGTTCAAATGTCATTGACTTCTCCAACACTAATTTTTTTCTAAACATTTAGTGGCCGTTCGTCTACGAACCTTCGTATCCTTCACATGTTAAGCCCATGGGACGGCTTTATGCTCTCCCATAGTCTATAGAGTCCCAAGTACTCTGACCCCCGTATTCTAGAACGTCCCTTCACTCAACGCTCCACCTTCACTTGAGAAAGCCGATGGGAGTGCCATCTCTAAGAACGGCAAGTCACTAATTATCAGCGATGATCTGCTGCGATTCTTGAGTAGCGCAGCGTCATTTTCAACCGAGCGGCGGCGCACTGCTCAACTCTGTCATGTGAAGGGTGAAAGTTGAGTCGAGGAGCGTTTGTGAATACGGGGGTAAGTCGTTAGCCACTTTTTTTTTTTTTAGAAAAACACGTTCGCATCTCGTGTCGTTCGCATATCTTTACTCCTTTTGCCCGTCTTGTCGTTTTGTATTTTTTTTATTTCGCAAGAGGTTTCAGTTTGCGCATCCTATCGCTTGGAAAGATTATGCCAGAAAAAAAAAAGCGTCCGTGGAATCACGTTCGGTCAGCGTGAATAATTTTCGAGTGCTCGCGTTGGGCTCTGAAGAAGAGCGGACTCCCCCTCTGTATGTCAGTTCTTTTTTCTTTTCTTCTTGCACATTCTGGCGGCTCCTCTTTCTATCTTTTTTATCTACGTACCTTCTTCATCGTTTCGTTTTATTTATTTATTTCAACTCTTTTTCCCGCATCTTTCCTCGCCTACACCGCACGTCAATAGACGCTTCGCGTCAGTAGGGGAGGCTGACGCGCGGGCTGGAGACAGCTGGCTGCGCAGATAACCGCTATCTCGTCCAGCTCCCGTGCCGACGCTGACACATCTCGGAGGCCTCCCGTGTGGCCTGCTCTCGCATGGCATGCCGGCTGTCAAGTCGTCTCCCACTTGACATTCTTGTCACCTTTCACCCGGCACTTTGATCTTCCCTCATTATCTTACGTGTCCCCCCCCCCTTTTTTTTCGTGTCGTATTCTTGTACACGCCTCATTTTGTTGTTGCTTTTCGTATTTTTTTGTGCTCACTATAATCTCACGTTCTCTAGTATCCATCATGGAGACTACAAAACGACAGAGGATGAGAATGAGAGCTGGGAAGAATGATTATTCAGAGCTCCCATCCTCTGTCTCTCTTTGTTTTCCTCTTCATCTCTCTCTCTCTCCTGAGAGTTCAGAAACGGTGTGTGTCGGGGGAGGAGGAGGAGGAGGAGGAGGAGGGGAAGCCGCCTTCTCGAGAAATCGCGTATCTCTCTGGAAAAACCGGGAGTCCCGAGCTTTTTTTCCGCCATCTCATGTTTCGTGTTTTCTCGGACCCAGCTCGTGACGGATAGGGTCGAGGAGATATGCAGTACTGTCCAGTCTACGGTCACAGACATATGAGCGGGAACACACGCGGTTTATCCGTCCGCACGCGTGTGCCTCTGTTGTGTGTGCGTGTATACATACACCAGGTTTAACGAAAGCTATTTTTGCGTCGTTCAAAAGTTATTACACGATGGCTGTGCGCGCGTCTTGAAGGCCTGTAGTTTATCTTGCCTCCGCATCCGGACTCAAAATTTTAGGCTGCTTACTTAAAGAAAGAACAGTTTACTTGGCCCCATTTGGCACTAAAAGCTCGGTGCATACTGCTTTTTTTTTACACTCGTACCCACAGTGCCATTTAGGCATTACAGTGGGGGGGGGTTTACACAGAGAATTTATAAATCATACATTTCAAGAACATTGGTAGTGAAAAACTAAGGAGAAATAGCGGCATACATTGTTGTCAATACACATGAACTTCATAAAGATCAGCTAACCCAGACGAAGAGAGAAAACAAAAATGAAATTTATACTGTACAAACATAAAAACACAAAAACGATGTGATACAAACTAAACACTGCATAAAATTCGACTGCAGCTGAAGACAGAATGACATGTCGCTTTGAAGCCTTATCTGCTCTACAAATTCAAAATAGCGTGAAGCTTGTAGGAGAGTTCATAGTTTCAGTTAAGCTGGATCTGGTTGCCGGTTAAGGCAAGTACTTGAAATCATTATGACAACTTGGCAGCGCAAACAAACAGGAAAAGGTAACGCTTCGCTGCCAAGTTATCATAATGAATATATACCTAACTAACGAGCCTACCAATCTTCTGCGAGGACTTAAAAGCTCATGTTTTTGTCGGTGGATAATCTAGAGCCGGCCCTGAACATTTAGATAAACGGTGGCGCGGTTTGGCTCGTGTAATACTGAACGGGCACCTGAAAGGGCCGTCAAACCACATCATGTATAAATGGGCGGTAACGATGCGAAAGTCGCCCTCGCGCTGACTCTCCCAAACAATAACTCAGGAAAGCATGGAAATTTCCTTGCTCTTGGGCATCATGTTGGGTACCTTCTTTTTTTTTTGGGGGGGGGGGGGGGAATCAATTCAAAATCAGAAACATTTTTCATCACGAATACGATATTTCTAGTTCTCCAGCAAATTAAGCCACTCGCCCGCGGAATCTACCCAATTTTTTTTTTTGCAAATCTATCGATATTGTTTAAAGGCCACAACAGAATGAACTTTCACTTTTTAAGAGCCCAGTCCTGGGGCCCGACAACACTTATCCATAATGGCCATAAAACGCTGCCCATGGGTAGTCGAGGCTCCTGAGAACATGCGAGCCTGACATTACAGCGCAGCACGTGGCGTGGAATTAACAATGAATTCTCAAAGTCGGCAAAAAATTGTCCGCCTTTTTTTTTCTGCAAATGATGCCATATACCAAAACGACCGCGCCGTGTACTGGAATTCTAACCCATTGACTGATTTGAGCATCGTGAGCTACATAGCTAACGCGGCCGGCGAGAGAGGCCGCCACTTACCCACGCGCGTGCTCGCGGTCACGAGGAAAGTAAACCTCTCGTTGGAAGAAGAAAAAAACAAAGAAAAATGGGTCAAGGTCACGAGGCACGCTTAACGTACGACTTATTTCTCCCGTGCCATCCCTCCCTGCTCAGCTTCCAGCGCGCTCGTCGGGACTAGAAAAGAGAGGAAGCAATTACAGCGTGCGACAAATCTCCAACTCCGCTCGTACTCAACAGATTCCAAATTAAATTTGCGGTCGTCGATTCCTGAAACTCCTTTAGCGAAGCTATTCGTTATTTACTTAGTGTATGTGTTATACGGCCCTTTCTTGCCTTTTTTTAACACTCCTTATATTAGTCTCAAGTTATTCCTCACGATGCCACAATCTTTCCGCACTTAACTTCTAAAGCCCACTTTCTTCTTTCGGTCGAATTGTAAATCTTGCACTTTATCGAAGAATCTTTCTCAAAGGCGTGCGCTTAGGGGGGTGGGGCAGAGGGAGCGGCTACCCTCCTATTAACCTAAAGGGGGGGGGGGGGCGCAAATTCAGCCCCATACACCAACATAACAGGGGTAGGGGTGCTGCGACTCACCTCCCCCCCCCCCCCTGAAAGAGAACCTGGCACATGGTCTGGGTCATTTTCCAAGCTGTATTGCATACAATGCCATGCTGAAGCGCAAGAGGAAAGACGAGAGGGGGGTACGGGGCGGGTGAAAATAGAGTTGCAATGCGCACTAGGCATGCTTTTGTCCGTGTTTTTGATCGTAAAAGTAAACGTTGTTTCACAAGAATCCTAGAACATTAGTCAATAATAAGAATATCGACATAGATTTCTTCGGCCACACTGGGCCATTGCGCCTCAAGACAGCTCCGCGCCGTCATCAATAATATGAATGCTTCTGTTCACACGCATGAATTCGTTCAGAATTTGGTCAATCTTATACGCACTCATTGGTCAAGCACCGGGCTCTAAGTCTTGACTGCCACGATCGTTGCAGGGAATACTTAAAAGTGAAGATTTAAACGTGAAACTTTGGGATTCTATGCAGCCCACTGGAATGATCTTCCTGAGGTTGCATCAATGTCTCACCACAAAACATTTCTAGATAGTCTAGTTACACTCATTGATAGTATTGTATAACGATATTTCGCCGTGCTTATTGTAAGCTTTTTTTTTCTTTTTATTGAATGCCTATACTTTTATTTACGATGGCTATTGATCATGAAATGCAAGTTGATTTCGTTGCTGTCATGATATCGCCTGAATTTGACGTAAACCATCTGTTCTCTTGTTTATTCGCAGGGCCATTGCCTCAGGATGGCATCTCTAGGGATTGCAAATGTGAGTATTTGTTTACAGAGTTTTATTTCGGTAATTTACGTCGCGTTAAATGTTTATGGCTTGGCCAAGGCGCAGATATCGTCCGCAAACAGATGGCTTGGGCTTCTGAAAGAAGCGTTCTAGGCTGTGTTCGGCTAGCTAGAACGTTACGCGAGATACCGCAACGTAATCGAATGTGTGAGAAGAGCTCATTTGAATATTGATGCCAAAGGGATGATTGACAACCACGCTGCGAAGCCCAGCGACGCCCGCTCCGGATGATTTTGAACCAACTGGATTCCAGGCCATTTTATGTTTACGAGATTCTGAGACCTTCGGCATGTATACTTCTAGAGTGCTGAAGGACAATTGAAATGCTGCTGGTTGAAGTACCCGAAGTCAACAAATCTTAGCGACCTCCTTTGGACTGGTTGTGCTTCCTCGACTGTGCTCATCATTTTGTCCATCCCTGTTTTTTTTCTTCTATCTTTCTGCCTCTTTATCCCTCTCCCTCAGTGCATTGTGGCAAATCAGACGTGTGTTTGGTTAACCTCCATGTCTGTTCTTGATTCTTTCTCTCTCTCTCTCTTTGCCGAGAACTTTTGTTCCTTTTTGAGAAATTTGTATGTATTTTTCCTTGGGGCTTCGTGCCACAGTGTGGTTATCAGTTATCTCTTTCATAACCTTCATGCCATCTTCCGGGATTCCGCAGAACTCATTAACTATGTTGACACCGCACCCACGCTCATTTTTGTATTGTCCGGATTTTGTCCAACTCCGTATTTGTTCTACAGTACAGACTAGAAACGAGGCGGCGTACAGACGGTAAACCTGTGCGTTGTGTTTTGGCTTTTCTAAGAGGGAGGGGGGAGAGGAAATCAGGGTCTTAACGCCATGCCCTCCCCCTCCCGATGCCTCCCCTGCTAACTTAGACTAGCCTAGACTAAATTTACTGTACGTGCTACCTCGGGTAGCATATACAGTAACTCTAGCCTAGACTAACTTTCAATAAGACGGAAAGTTGGGCTATTTGCGCACACCTAACACGAAGGCACGGCGGCGGTTCTTATGTACTTTGTTTGCCTCGCTTCTTCGAGTGTTGTGCTACAAATTTTTCACTTGGAAAGTTGCGATACTTTTGAGCCACATTCTGAAGCGAAATGAACAAAACTAGAGTCAAGGCTTCGAGAAAACGTGCCTACGTAGATTTTTTTTTTTTTGCAATTTCATAGGTTAGGCTTACGAGCGACAGGGTTCGAGAGGACAGTTCAGCTAGCAACAGAGGCGACACGCACGCATTTCAGGGGCGCGTTTCGCAAATGGTGGTATGCGGCGCGAACGAACCCTGAAAGGGAAGTGTCGATTGTGCAAACCGTCGTAAGCCGGTTCCATTTGCGTTTGTTACGCAGCCCCCATGACGACGCAACAGACGATACTGTACACGTACGTGGGCGAGAACCGCATCGAGAACCAGGACGCGCAGCATCACGTTCAAGTGAAGGCCAACGTCGAAGTCGGAGTCGTCTCGCCATGCATCTTTTCTTTCAAGGTATACGTCACTTTTACGCGTCTCTGTCTGTCTCTCCCTCTTCTGTGACGCAATGCACGTGCAAAATATCATGTAATGCGACGTGATTCAATGAAACCGTCTATCACGACGATGATGATTTATATTGACGCTTTCCTTGAAGAGAGTGGTGACCAGTAGTCATTTTGCCTTTTTTTAACATTAGGGGGCTAAAGGCCTTATTCGTCTCATCGAATCGAGAAATTTCGAGATTTGGCGAGATTTCACGAGACGTCGCGGGACGGCAGCGTCAACACGAATGATGAAAAGAAGCTAATAAAAGTTGGTCTAAAGTCACGTGATACTCGAGTTTTGCATAAACGTGGCCCGACGGCGTGTTGAAAGTTCCATCACATCACTGCAACATGACATCACAGACCGCCAAAATTTGTGACGTCATGCGTAATCAGACGACGTCGTGGAAATTGGACGAATCGTAGCGGCAGTGCGAAAGCGTGTGAGGCGCTCAAAGCTTGCACTGGCCTCACTTCTCGAAAGCGCTGCAAAACCAAATTAGGCGCAGTGAGCTAATTGGGTAGGGGTAAGGTGGATCAATACAGTCGAGTTGAAAGAAGACGAAGCAGAGGCAGGTGGCTTTTGCCTTAGAATCGCCTCCGGATAACTCGTAAGGGACCGTTAGAGTTTTTTTTTTTTTTATGCGAATGCATTTCTTAGTCAGGCTATGTCAGGCGTACGGTGGCGTCCGCGCGCCGGCAGGTGTTATTTCTCCGCTCTCACTACCTCTCCCATAGCAACAGCTGTGGGCGCGCTTATTCTCGCCTCTCGCTACCGGAGCAGGTAGTGCGGGTGGAGTAGCAGAGAGTGAGTGGAGAGGAGGTACGTGCTCTCCACACACGCTGGAGCTCGGCGGAAGTGCCGGTGTGTGGAGAGAGTGTAGGAAAGGGTAGGTGCAATGGTTCCCGCTCCTTCTCTCGCCGTTCGCACACTCTCCTCCTCCCTGCGTCCACTTCTCTGGTCCGTTCGCTCGTATGTGTATATAAATGGAGTGAAGCGAGCGCCTCACTCTCGACCATTCGCTGGCTGACGAATGTGTAAATAAATGGTTACGGCACGAATTCTCGTCTCGTCATTAATTTACACCATTTAAATTTACTACGCCGTGTACTTTTGGCGCAAAAAAATGCCTTCGTCCTCGCGATTCTCTTCGCGGAGGTGGGGCAATTTTTTCAGCTAATCCACTTCATTATCCGCTTCTATTCGCTCAATCATACCATGCAGCACTTATCTTGTCCTACTAAAATCTTATATGTCGTACTCGTTCCAAGATAGGCGTGCAGTGAGGTGCGTGAAAGAGGTGAACTTACAAGAGACGCATTTCTTTATCACCGAGGTGATCTTACTTTGTTTGTTAATCTCTTACTCCTGTTTGCAGTTGGCCGACGTAGACCTGCAAGGGGTCAGCGTGGCCAACCGGTACGCGTTCAAGGAAGCCCTGGAACGGCATCCGATGACCGTGTACATCGAGGATGGCATCGTTGGCGAGATACGTCACAATGCGGAAGAACTGCCGTGGGCCTGAACGTCAAGAGGGCCATCATCTCCATGATGCAGATACCTCGCACAGCTCTCGACGCCAACAGCATCGTGTCCGAGGTATACGGCGTTCTTTAAAGTGGCTAAAGTGACTATCTATCTATCTATCTATCTATCTATCTATCTATCTATCTATCTATCTATCTATCTATCTATCTATCTATCTATCTATCTATCTATCTATCTATCTATCTATCTATCTATCTATCTATCTATCTATCAGCTGGCCGAGATACCAGGGTTGGCTCTTGGCCGGCTTTTTTTTTAGTATACAGCCGGTTTAGTAAACTCTACAGCAAAACACAAATTATATGCTTTATTCAAGGCATCGTAAGGCACCTGTTCTGCACAGCAATCGATCGCCATCACCTTTTTGGTTGATAATCATAATCGTTTTGGCTGTGTGCTTTATTACCGGATCGTGGCGCTTGATGGCTCTTGAGTTCGCAGCTGAATAAACCCCGTTACGACCAAGTCGCCATACGTGGTGGAGGTGTTGGCTATCGCTCCCATTAGCTCTCGCCCATAAAGGGAATCACAAATGACCCAGGTGTTCGTACGATATATCCCCTGTATAACTGCAGATTTATTTCATCAGCCTATCTTAATTACGCAAGTCTTCGTTAATTTTGTTGTCGTCTAGACTTCCCCGCATTGCTGTGCCGTTTTTAAAGCGTCAACATTCTTTTCGATTGAACTCTAGCGGTACTGTTTTAAAGCATGCATTTTTTTTATATTGAGCAGTTTGTAGTTTGCACATGGTATGTCTTCAAGAAAAAAGAAAGCACAACCTTATTTCATTCTTGTCGGAAGCGCTCGTTCGCCATCAGTTGCGAGGTAACAAAACCCGCAGCCCATGTGCTGCACTGGTTTGACGGCTTGATAGCCCCGCCGTGGTGGTCTAGTGGCTAAGGTACTCGGCTGCTGACCGCAGGTCGCGGGATCAAATCCCGGCTGGGGCGGCTGCATTTGCGATGGAGGCGAAAATGATTTATGCCCGTGTGCCCAGATTCTGGTGCACGTTAAAGAACCCCAGCTGTTCAAAATTTCCGGAGCCCTTCACTTCGGCGTCTCTCATAACCATAAGGTAGTTTTGGGACGTTAAATCCCACCTATCAATCAAGATTTAAAATGATGTGGTCTATAGCATGCCGGGTGGTCCACCAATTAAATGGTCGTCTCTTCTCCGCGCGCATGCCCAGACTGACGTGTTTGGAACCTGCGAGACCCGTTACACGCCCGGAAACATCGGTCCGCTCCGGTGGTACCGTGACCAAGTCCAAGAGCCTGGCCACGTGCTTTGGCCGCTTCGGCAGCTCCCTGCCAATCATCTACACCCCGTATGAGTCCAAGGCTTCGGTGAGTTTTGTTACACTATCCATTCTGTCGTTATTGCGACGAAATCATAGTTGTTACAATGGAATACCAGCTGGAATACTGGGCCCTTGCTTGGAATTGAATACTGAGCCCTTGCTTCAGTGGTGGTGGTGAAACTTTATGTCCTGAGAGAGGCCCAAGGGCACCTGGCTAAAAGTTAGGCGTATAGGGCAAGTCCCGCGTAGACGCAGCTACGCCATACGCGGACCTTCTGAACAGTGCATATATGATCTTGGAACACATCACTTTTGAGTGCCTTGTCACATTGGCCCTTGTCCAACATGCGTCACTTTCCCATAGAACAAGGAACTTGCTTCGGTTACTGCGAGGCGTCGCTACAGCAACCGACGCCGGATTTTCTCTAGATCTTAATGCAGTATTGCACTTCTTGCGAACAACAAAAAGGGAGAAGCAGTTATTTGAGGAGCAAAATCTGAGATGTCGATCTAAACAAGAGTTTTGAATTAAGCAGCAAACCAGTGTCGTCCATGTGTAAGGTGGTTAGATGGCATTGCCTCTCTGGAGGCCACCGGGAAACAACTTCAGTAAACTTGGAAATATGACTCACTGATGTTCAAGTACTTATGGCGTCACATCTAGCCGCTAGCGACACGATGGTACTTACGTACGCAACCATTCGTGAACAACTAAGTGCTTGTACGTTCATAGCCAAAGCTGTGCTAAAGACGGGAGCACAAGACAAATAATACCACAGAAATGCGCCGTGGTCTCGTTTGTCTTGAGCTCTCGTCTTTCGCGCAGCTTTAGACATGAACCTTACGCAACTCGATCAGTCTTATATAATTTTACTGTACGTGTTTGTCAGGTTCAGCTTCGTGCCATCAGATGGCGCCGTCAGCCCCGCCGCTCACGTTTGCGCTCCGACAACCTTGTGCCCCGTTAACAGCAATACGTTTGCTGCGGCGTATGATTGTCGGAGCATAGCCTCCTATGTATAGGAGGCTATGGTCTGAGTATGCTTATCGTGCATTTTATCGTAGAACATCGCCTAAGACGAGTACCGAGCATGTTCTCAGTTCTAGATAGCGGCGTTTCGCCCCGGCGCGTACAATAGTGGCTGTGGCGAAGTCGTCGTGCCTTTGTCGAAGAAAGCGCCGCCGAGACGACGGTGAACGAAGTTCAACAAGTGTTGGTGGTCCACGGTGCCCGCACACCCGTGCTGGAGTGTTTTTCTTTCCGTTTCCTTTGAGAATGCAACGCACTCAACGTGCTCGGTCGTAGACATTGAACGACCTTGTCGCTAGCGTCCCGAAGCCGATAACGCAATAATTGCCTTTTCTGCCGCAACTGACTGTGCAAAGGAGCTGCACGAAGACGTTGTGGGGGCAGTTTTATTCTCTGGCACTCGTGCTACGCTTATCGACGCGTGCGTTTTTTGGCAAAGGAAGCGAGCGGAAAGACGAACCTTCATTTTTTCGTTTTGCTTTTCCTATGGAAACCGTCATTGAGATCCTCGTGACACGTTTCGTTCTAGGTTCGTTTTGATTTTTTTTTTTTTTGCGCTGGAGTGTTTTGATTCGCCGAGTTGGCTTGGCAGATGTGCTCGTGACTCCGGAAGATGCGGCTACGTTATTATTTGGGGCCCGTTGAAAGGTCGACCACAACAACGGAAAAGAACTGATATCGGGTGGCAGTCTGGGCGAGTTTGTTTGAAATCCAATGTGCTGAATTGAACAGCAGTGCGAAAGAAGGGACCAAGACTGTTATTCGTGTCTTCACTTTCTCGGTTCCCTAATTATTTTGCGTTGTTATTGAATTCAAGTACCGCGAAAAAAAATATATATCTCACTGTCACTGAAGGGAACCATGAGTAGCGTGCGTAACTGCGCATGGTTGAACTTCAAAGTTCCGTTCATCACGCGTGCGCTTTGCCCGTAGTTAGGAGCACACCATGAATTCACCGCAGTTTCGGTTTCTGTTACTCGTCCCGAATTCTCGTTGGAGCACGCCACGTGGGTTCATCGCCCTGCAACCTGGCAGCTCGTGGGTTCATCGAGCGTCTCCAGAATCTCGTTTCGCGACGGGATCACGTCATTGCTGAGAGAGTGTAAGGGGGAGAAGCCTCAGCGAAAGGCCTGAATACATGTATGCGCCGTGTCGCCTGAAGGCAGACAGAAATTAGGTGCCTTTTTCCTCTTCATTGTAACCACTACCACCACCCACCCCGCTGCAGCGCGTGCTTTCTGACGCGGCGCCGCGCCATTTTCCTACAGAGAGAGGGGGCATGTGACTACGTGAAGCTGCTCGCCCGTTCTCTCCGATTCGTGGCATGTCAGATGCTTCCGCGCTCACATGATAGCTGCAATCATCGCTGAACTTGTCACTGGTAAGTGCTGACAAGTTGGCACAGCTTGATTCCTCGTCGCCCCGCCGCGGTGGTCTAGTGGCTAAGGTACTCGGCTGCTGACTCGCAGGGCGCGGGTTCGAATCCCGGCTGCGGCGGCTGCATTTCCGATGGAGGCGGAAATGTTGTAGGCCCGTGTGCTCAGATTTGGGCGCACGTTAAAGAACCCCAGGTGGTCTAAATTTCCGGAGCCCTCCACTACGGCGTCTCTCATAATCATATAGTGGTTTTGGGACGTTAAACCCCACATATCAATCAATCAATCATTGATTCCTCGTTGGATGACATTTCCAACTTGCTTTTTGCGCGTCTAAAGAGGCACGGTGAGCTATGTTTACACCCTGGCCAGCCGTGGCGGGGTGCCGCTGATCTCGTGACGTCATCGGCTACGGATTCTCGTGGCGTCATTCGATAGCCACCATGGATGACGGAGCGGCTCCTCGTTTCTGTTTCTGCTTAATTAAAATTATTGACGAGTGCCTGGGCAAAATGAACCACCCTAAGCTTTTGCATGACTGTCAATACTATTTGAAAACAGCGCGTCATTATCTCAGTATAATCTAAAGTGCACCGGAGCTCCCCGTTTAGCAACGAATTCCAAAGTCACGCGAAGAACGGCAAGCAGCTCGAAACTTGCAGCGCGCACCTCAAGCAGAATTAGCACGCACGAAATGAGCATACGCGGGACGAGCGTGGACTAGCAAATGTCACAGCTGGACACATAAAGCGCACTTCTCAAACAGAAAGAAAGAGAAACGAATGAACAAGAATACACAGGACAAGGCGCAACAACGGTCATAATTACGCCTTTCGTGTGAGAGCAGCGCGCTCCTTAACCTAAACGAGGCCTTGAGCGAAGTGACCTTTGTGCTCTCCCCATTCACGAGTCTGATAAGCGCGCGTGCAGGAGAGACCACGGAGTCCGGTGCTCATCGAAACGCGAGAGGGAACGAGTTTGGGGGGTCCTCAGAGCTCTACAACTTCGGCGCCTTATATCCTGACAACGTACGCCCCGTGGCCTGCAATAAAACAACAACAACAACAACAAAACGCTACGTAGCCTAGTGGTCTGCGCTGCACCCTGTGGAGCGAGATTTCGCTGGTTTGACGGCCCGCGTCGGAACATTTTCTTCGTGTTTTTTTATTTGCGCTATTTCAGTACAAATTTGACAACGTCATATCTGTGACGGAAATACGTCAGCCGAGCCGTGGTGGACCCCGGCATGAAACACTTTCGTGTTAAAAAAAGGGGGAGAAGAGTGCAAGAAGAGAGGCAATCATAAGCACTGTTATTGCGCACACTGAATGACCCGAGTAGATATACATCTCACCGGCGATCAAGACCTCGTAGAAACTAACGCTTAATACGTAATTTCTAAAATAGTTACGATTATTGAACCATGATTAGGTGTCATATAATATTTCCCTTGTGAAGTAGTACGTACTTTCTCATTTCACAGGCTAATACTAAAGAGGGCTCGGTGTTACATGTGCTTGACCCTGTGCATGCAGGCAGAGCTATTGATTCGGTGCTCCGTGTGCATGTAAATGAGATGTATGTGGTTGATACGCAAATTAATGTGCTTTTATACATCCGGGTTCTTTTGTCCGCACACAGCCGTTCCAGACAATCCCAATGACGAACGGCAGCTTCGTGTGCCAGCAATCGGTGGATGCCAACCGCTGGATCACCAAGGCCGAGTGCAAGGAGCAGGAGTACCTCCACCTCGCCGCCAGGGGTCTACGCGAACAGACCACGGTCACTTCCACGGGAGTGCTCATCATGCAACAGATCTTCCCGTCGGTCAAACCCGTTCCTGGTGCGAGCTAGCTACTCACTCAAATTTGGCCACAGCTCGGTTGTGAAGCGTTCCATTGTTGAGCAGCGAAGTATGTTTCCCATTATTACGTCAGAGCGTTAGATGCCTCATCTGAATGTAAAAATTGACTGTCAGCATTCATAATGTCAACGCGAGTGATGCAAAAGATTAACGTTATGTGGTGACGTCACTGTATGAAGTCATCAAGATATGACATATCGCCAAAACGAGGTGAAGTCATCACGTGACAAAGTCGTTTGATCAAAAGTGTGGAGGCATTGCCAAACCCTGCGAGGCGCGGGCATAGGCAGAAATTTTTTCAGTGGGGGGAGAGGGGACACCTCTGTGATTTGAAAAGAGGCCGGTGGCAGGCAGGTAAATGGCCATTTGCGCTATGTATACTATCGTGAAAAAAATTCGTAAGGGGAGGCACAAGCTCTGTGTGCCACCCCCTGAACTACGCCTCTGCTGCGAGATTCAGAAAACTTGCAGTGCCTGTGATCCTGAACACCGTGCAAAACCATGTAGGGGGCACATAGCTTTAAGAGGGAAGGGGGCTATTGTATTGATATAATTCGATAGCCTATTGTATCGCCTACTGTATCGATACAATATGCTGAGAAGAAAGCGGTGGCTTATGCCTTTGGGTCATCTTAGACACATGCATAAGTGACTGCATGGATCTTCAGGCAGTGTTGGTGGTGAAAGTAGGCAGAGAACAGCTGTGGTGTGAAAGCCTTCACATTTGATTAATGTCATTTCACTGAATTTTATGGTATGGCCTTCTATTACAGCTAGTGTGCTAACTGTTAAAGAAACCTGTCATTTGTCCAACCCTGTGGGAAGAGAATTGTCGCATGAAGCGTCACGCAGGCATCATTTCTCCATACAAATTAAGCCTGAAAGGCCTCCGCATCAGCTTCATTTGGCTAGTAAACTTGAGCGGAGTGTTTTAGAGAGATATTTACTGCATGTTCACAAAAGTCGATGCACTACTCAGGGACGTCTATTTTTTCCCCCCTACATCGCTTTGAAACATTGCTGTAGCTATGAACCATGGGTACTATGTCTTTTCCGCAGAAACGGTGAACGTCAGGTCCACGCTCAAGTTCGACCACAGCGTGACCCGCACTGAGAAGACTGAGTCAAAGGACGTCATTGGCCTGCTGCGCGACCTGTGCCGCAGCAGTCATGAGGACATCCGGCCCGAAGCCAGCGGCATCTTCGCGCGCCTGGTGGCTGCACTCCGGGGTCTTCCTCCTCAAGCGTTGAGGCAGATCTACAGCAAGGTGTCCACCGGCGAACTGTGCTTCGACAAAAAGATCGAGTGAGCTCCGCACTACTTCCGTCTGTCGACTTATCGCATTGTGATATCCCCTTTTACCATATCCTAGTGTCATCATCTGATCGAAGCTTAGCTTTGACTAGGATATCCGCCGAATGCTCCTGGTCAACGCACAATTTCCTGCTATTTTCTATTGTCATTTTGTGCTGTCTTTTTCATAATCGACTTTCATGATCTTGGTGCAGTCCCTCATGCTTCAGTGAATTCATACTTCCTTCTTTTTTTCTCTTTCTTTTTGTCTCTCATCTTCTTTGTTTCCCTTTCTCAATACTCCAGTGTAGAGTAGTCAACCAGAATCTTTACGGTTAAGCTCCTTGCTTCCTTCCATTCTGTTTTCTTGCTTCCTTCCTGCTACTACCTTTATTTGGGATCATCCACTGCCATCTTGTTCAAAAAGAAGACAGATGGAATGATTTCATATACTCTACTGCCTTCTTCTTGTTAACGTTTTTTTTTTGTTTTTTTTGCAATGCCATCGAGTTCGTTATCTTGATGAGTTCAGTGGCTGTGAGTCTTTCACCATTTCATTCGAATTGTCGGGAGCATAAGTTATTCAGTGAACTTATACTTTTAAAAAACTTCTTTTTTCGTACGTGTTGTGCAGGCATCTGTTCTTGGACGCACTTCCTCTAGTCGGAACCGAAGCGTCGCTCAAGCTGACTGTAGAACTGATGAACAAGCCTGAACATGCAGACCGTTCGACGGCATGGATTGCAGGAATCAGCTCCATCAGCTACCCCACCGAAGGAATGATCTCAACTCTGGCCGTAAGTCTATGTGTAAATCTTTTATATGTAAATATACGACAGCATTTTCTCAGCGTATCACGTGAGTGATTTATGAAGAACAGTGAATGATGTAGTGGCTGTAGTGCATATATTTGTGTCTCACTAGCTGAAGCTTTCAGTAAGCTTAAGCTGGTAGTAAATGAGTGCATGCTAATGGTTTCGTTATTTTCTGGTGGGTACTTGGAACTTCACTGATTTGATTTCTCTAGAACGAAAGTACTATTAGGGAGATCAGCGAATCATGCCTATGATCAAATTCACCATCTTGTCAGCTCTGTTAGGTGTGAATGACTGGTACGGCCTCCGACTGGCTAGAAATGCTGCCATTGCAAAATTTCAAAATTTTACAATATGACAGTATTTTCTGTTGTCTAATACATTGCCTTGAGCTGAATCGGCCATCCTGGTCCTAAATGGCTGATAACTTTTTTTACGCTGAAAAATAAAAGAAAAGCTCTTTAATATAATTTGTTCCAACAGCATTTCGTAAACGGGTAACACAATCGCGTCCAGTATGAGTTTCAGCATACTGCCCATCGTCAAACCAGTGCCAACACTGCATGGTTGTGCCAACTTAGAAGACAATCAGTTTAGTCAACTCTGTTTTGCCAACTGATATATTTCCAAAACGAATTTCACGTTTTCTAGTGTTACACTATCGGCTTGGGGGCGCTTCAACCATGGCCACCGTGTTGCAAACAATAACGAGTACCAGTGTACACTTTCTAATGAAGAGTACAACCCGATTCGAAAAGCAATGAAGTCCACTAAAGCGTTTCAGTGTGCTGTGTGTCCCGATGAAGGAATGTTAAGAATCAGCACAAATTAGGAATGTACAGCTTTCTCTAGCGTTGGCTGATTGATATGTAATGGTGGCTGGCATTGGCTAAACAATTGTTCGATGTTGGCTGAAGATCGCTCAATGGTTCCTAGTGTTGGTGAACCATCGCCGTGTGTTGGCTAGTGTATAGAAGCGACGACAGTGTTGGCTAAGTGATAGCACAGTCCCTAATACCGTTCTGGTCACGAAACTTCTCCGTCACTCTATGGGAGAGCTTGATATGGTGCCAAGAGCGGCCGCTACGCGGCGCAAGCCGTCCTAGGGGGGCCATCGCCCCGCTGCGCCCGGCGCAACGCATGGCCGCGGCGGCATCCCGAAGGCGTTGCGTGGTGGCAGCTCGCGGTTTCTGCATCAGCGAAACGCGAACTTCATGTGCCAGTGCACCGTGCTCAAGGTGGACGGCATGAAAATTCGAATGAACAATGCCTAAGACGTGCTGTGTGACGGGTTGCAGCTCCGGATACCGAAGCAACAAAGAAAAGGCGTCGCTCTTCTGTTTCCCAAGTAGCGCCGAACTCCGAGAGAAATGGAAGCGAGCTATACCGCGGTTGGAAGCTGGCGGTTTCAGCTTCGAAAGTAAGAACGTTCGGGTGTGCGAAAAGCATTTTGATGCTAGCGACGTTGTGAGAACCGACGAGCACATCGTGAACGGGGTGGTCGTGTCACTTCAGCGAGAGAGACCGAGGCTTCGCACGAACGCCGTTCCAAGAATTTTTGACGGGCTCCCGGCGTACCTGACAAAGCCGAAACCGCGTTCACGGCCTGCGACTCAGAGGCAACCAGCGAAGAGGCGGCACGAATTGTCACCGTAATGCGCAGCAGTGGAATGCCAAAATGTCAACACCGACTCGGCAGGAGAAGTGTCTGTTGCACTTTTTAGGGACAACAGCTGTGGTTGTACACTTTTTTTTAGATTTAGATTACATTTCTTCACTCGAGAAAAAAACAAAGCCTCGCGGGCAACTGTGCGCAGTTCATGCCCTGCAAGTGGTGGGCGGAAGCCACAGTGTTAAGCATAATGGCTGTGTATGTGAGCACGCCTTCCCATTTGTATATAGTGTTGTACATCTTGTATACATTACACTGTAATATTTTCGTACTATTCATATTTATCTGCATATAGTGTAAATAGTGTATATTCAAATACAGTTTATTTTAGGCAGTGAGCTAAGGCAGAGTGCAGCTGTTAATGAAACGAAATACACATTGTACAGTAGAGTCACAAATTGTGTAACATTGCTCAGAACAGCTGCAATAGTTTCTAGTGCTTTTCTTCTCCAAAGTGTTGTTCTCAGTGTATTTTGTGTAAATAAATGTTTTCCAACTTTCTCCCCATTACATGCACCATATGTGAATCTCCCATTCATAAGTACACACCTGACTACTAGGCGGCGTATTATTAGCACCAAGTTTAAGATTTATTGCATGCCTGAAATTATAAACGCCCTTCCCCCCCTCCCACCCAAAAAATAAAAACAAATGTGTGATGAGGTACCTCGGTAGTGGCAGAGGCGGCCAAGCGACTAGCACTGGCATCAAAAGGAACTTCCAGATTAGGCTGCTGTACTTCCGTTCCCGGAGAAATCATGGGTTGTCGGCCGGTAATTAATAATGCCCTAAACAGTAAACACAAGGAAACGTCAAGCGGCGGGTGTCCCGTGTAAACTGCGTGGAAAGAAGTGATCAATCAAATGTTGGGCACGTTTAGAGCGGTCGCGAAAGCCCTCGGCATCGAAAGTCCCCGCGTCAAAAAAGCGATCGGCGCTCACAAACGTGTGTCCAAAACAACTGCGCATTTGGGTATAAACTCAATTGAAAGGTCTGGAATAAAACTTCTGGCTCAATCATTCAGTTCATTTGAATACTTGGGTAGTAGCGCGCGAGAGGCGAGCCGGATATAAACCAATGTGATTGCTCCTGTACTACCCAGTCGTGTTTCATTTCGTTCACCTTCCTCCCCCTATTAGCGGCCCTACCAGAATATAAAGCTCACCTACCGCATAAACATAATCGCCCTTTGGCCGGGCGCAAATACAAACATGTTGTCGAGCAGATCAAGCAGTAGCTGCTCGTATCAAGATCATAAGCATCGTCTTTCAACACTTGCGAGCTATAGCTCGCAAGTACCGCTTTGAGGCATCGTAAGTATGCATATATAATTGGGCTATGAGACAATTATTGACACAATGCGTTATCGCGCGGTGTGAGAATACTTTTAATGCGCTGCTGTTTATAAGGGGGGCCCGCACTTCCAAGTAAACTACGCGTGCGTTCCAAAGTAAACAGCTCTCATTCGTCGTCGACACTGGATCCCATTTCAACTTATTTATCTGGTGGCATTGATGCATTCATAGACGTTTAAAACAAGGTAACAGGAAGAACAGCACGCACATAATCGCGTCGAAACGTCGGCCGCAGTGCGCATACAAGCCCAGCAGTGGCGGCGGCTTGTGGCCCCCATACGACGGGTGGCGCCTCTAGCGACAGATTTTGTCCCTATATCAACCTTCGGGCGGAGTTTCGTGACCAGAAAAAAATTGAAGGACTCTGGTGATAGTAATTGTTGTCCAGCGTCAACCAATGGCTATAGTATTGTTAGCTATCTGCTGTTGCATTGCAAACTACATTCAACTTATTACAGTGATTGAGCTGTCAAACTGTTTGTATTCTTTCCCTCTCGCAGCCTCTCATCAAGAAGGCGAGAGCACCGCGCAGCGCCATCCTCGCTGTGACGTCGCTGGCCCATGTGTTCTGCCGCGATTACCACGGCAACTGCGACGACGTGCCGGCCATCCGTGAAGTCCAGGCAGCCCTCACCAAGCAGCTCGGCTTCAAGTGCAGGGCCGATGATGCCACTGCGAGGAACAGGGTACGAACAGGGATAGTTAAGATCTTGGAGCATTGATAGAATTTGTAGTGGCTGTTGATAACGCTTAATTTTGCAATATTTGTTCAGAATTGACTCCATCTTGTGAGAAGAAGATATCAAGAAGAAATGGACATGGGTAGGGCACGTAGCGCATAGGCGAGATAACCGCTGCTCTTTGTTCAACAAATAATGTTCAATAAAGAGCAGTTGTACAGCACATCTGAAAGACTTACAAACCATAAAGATGTGTTAGGCAGATGCAAGGAAGGGCACCAGCTTCGCTGTCTCATTGGTGTCCACGAAGCGGAGCTGGTTGAATTTTTTTTCAATCTCTTGAGCACTGAACTCACACTTTCATTCATTGGGCAAAAGGCATCATGAAAAACTTTAGGCATGGTTTCATGTAATCTTGCAATGCCATGTTTACAAAGCACTGTTCGTTTGTAAAGACATCTGTCACTTAAAGTATTATAATACTAAATTAAGTGCATAAGAAAACGAAATAATACTGCGGGCAGTCCGATGAAATTGCCGATTCATTTCGTTGTTGTTTTCAGGTTATAACAGCTCTGAAGGGTTTCGGTAACCTTGGATACTATGGCGAGGGTATCAACACCATCATCGAATGCGCCATCTCCAGCAACAGTCCTCTGCCTGTCCAAATTGCGGCCATCCAAGCAACCAGGAGGTCTTGTGCTCCGGAGGTGCGCAAATAGTTAGAGTTCACGAAACGAGTTTGAAGTAATAGTAGTAGTAGCAGTAGTAGCAGCGGTAATATAGTTGAATGGATGATGGTAGTGTTGGAATTGTTATTATTATTATTATTATTATTAGTTGTTGTTGTTGTTATAGCTGTAATATAGAAGCAGTAGCTGTAGCCAGCTTCCTGTTGCTTGTTTGTTTAGTTTCCTGCGATGCAGTTGATTTCACTATAACATACAACCAAAAATGATAAATATGGCTCCAAAGTAGTAACTATAGAATAGCGCTGGCTAAGGAGGAAAGGCGAGCTGAAATTAGCATAAAAAACATCAGGAGAAATTATTTGTTGTCTTTGAATGTTGTAAAATTATTTTCAAAAGAAAGAAAACCTACTTTAAAGTGTACTGTGATCAAACAAAACAACAGCATTTAGTGGTTTCACAGCTCTGAAACAAGCAAACCAGATTCGCTCGTGGCAATAATTGGTGGAATTGAATTGAAGAAGACGGAGTGTTGCTGCTGATTATGGGCAATTCGTCCTTGCTGTATTTGCGACTCACTTGCGCAATTTTTTTCCCGAATATATCGGTGGTTATCGCTTTATGGCAGATGCATCCCAAGCTCATGGAACTGATGAGCAATCCGAGCGAGGACGTCGAAATTAGGATCGCCTCTTATCTCGCTGTCATGAACTGCCCCACCATGCAAGATATAATGGACATCAAGAAAATGCTCGAGAAGGAGGAGATCAATCAGGGTAAATTGCGTCTTTTACCTTGCCGAGCTTGTCGTAACCTCATTATCACTGCACAATTAATAGGAGCCAGTTGGCTAATTTTATTTTATTACATTAATATACTTCTCAAGAAGGGTATACATGTTGTCGTCTACCTGTTGTTTCAAAACATACAGGCACATGTTAGTTCATTGGGAATCAATCGATCGATATTCATCAACCATTTTCCCGAGTCAAAGACCTGTGACAGAGACCTATAGGCCATGTAGCTTCTCCATTGATAAGTGGCCATTACTTTTTCAGCGAAAAGTCACATAATTTGTTCAGCGTGTTGCCATAACGAATTTTTTTTTTAATTTGGTGTCAGCTTGCTCCATTCTTGTGCTCATAGTGACGGCCTACAGTACACTCACACTCTGGTCATGCCTTGACAGGTGTACACGTATCACCAAAAGTATTAGAATAAAAGGGATGCACGCCTATTATACGCATTGCCTAAACTGTATTGTTTTAAAAAATTTTAGCCTGTCTTTGGACACCATGTTGTTTCCAGTTTCCTCTTGTGCTCAAGCAGTAGACTAGGGTCTTAGTCGTGTGCATTTCTCTGACGCCATTTTGTTTCCTTTTTTTACCCGCTCGTCATGGGTTCTTGCGCTGGACATGCAGACACGAGAGAGCACGTAAGATTATAACACAGTCACACTTGAGCTGCTGTGATGCAGCGCGAAACGGCCCACGCACGGGAGAAAGCACATAATGATGCCACAAAGCATTTTGTGGCGTCTGTAAGTGTCTCCTAGTGTCCGTACGCCGTTTCGCTCCTAGTATCCATATTTCATTCTAAAAGCAAAGCTGTTCGAAGTAATTTACTAATAAGCCCACTATGTAACCCTGGTCTATCGCTCTAATGCACGCTTGCAGTTAGCACATCCTCTGACGCCATATTGTTTCCACGTTTTGCAGTGGGCTCTTTCATCTGGTCGCACCTGAAGAATCTCCAGAACACGGAGTCACCCACCAAGATGGCGGTGCGTTCCCTGGTCTCCGGCATCTACGTGCCAGGGCAAGTTTGACAGCGACGCACGCAAGTCCTCGCAGAACATTGAGTGGTCCGAGCTGTCCGAGAAGTACAATGTCGGAGGTACCGCCGAGGCCAACGTCGTCTACAGTCCCAAGTCATTCATCCCACGTTCCATCGATCTCAACTTGACCGTGGACCTCTTCTCGCATTCCATCAACATCTTCGAGGTACGCTTATAACGTTATGAACGCTTGAAATACTGAAGTGAACCAACTTTTGATATATGCTCAACTTCTGTTAGAAACAAAGTTGGCAGCCAGCCGTCTGTAGCAAAAAACTACATCAACCTTCAATTAACTTGCATAAAAAAGAAATTAATTACCTCAAGACCCTGACATGTACTTAATTGACAAATTTTTATTTTTTTCTTCATTCCTACAACTTGACGATATCGTAAAGTAAAACATGTTAAACATACACGACCAAGTTTTGTTCATTCATAGAGCCTAGCAGTGACCACCTGGGTTTTTGTATGGTTCTCTTTTGTTTGCCTGTTTTCATTTCTGTTACCTTCTTTCGCGATAGAGGAAATCCATACGAATTCCGTACAAACTAGTCGACGATAAATTTCAACACTTCTCTAGCGGCCAAAAGGTTTCATTTCCAAGACGTGCCAAGAATCCAGGCAATCTGCCCTTACATCTTTGGGTTGTTCGCTCCATCACATATTGAGGGAACACGCAGAGAATGTGGTGTGTAGCCCATGGTTTGGTGACGCCCGCTACAGGTAACATCTTGTTCTTGTCGGATGTTGCGGAGGTATTGGCAGATGCAAGTGACACCCAGCCGTAATCTATGCACTGATGTTTCTAGGCTCTCTTCTGTATCGATGAATGTGACAGCAAAGTGTCCACTGTAGGTTTTTTTTTTTTTTTCTTTTCGCTACAATGCGAGCTTTTTCTGTAAGTTTAGGTCAGACAAGTGTTAACTCTATCGTCTCATTCCGTGTCCTTTAGGTTGGCGGTCGCGCCGAGGGATACGACCACATGCTCGAGAGTCTTCTCGCTCCAAAATCGCATCTGAAAAGGACCAATGAAGTCGACTCGTTCTGGAACCGCTTCAGCAACAGCCTTGGCCGATCTCGACGGGCTGCCTCGGCGAAGAACACCAAGGTCGACATCTTCGACGACAAGGTTCGCTTCTTTTTCGAACAGTTTTCAGCATCAACGATGCTGAAAATTCGTTATTTCTGGTTACAATAACGTTTGATATTGTTTAGTTTTCAGTTAGGGTTTGTGACGAAATTGTGTGAAGCGTCTTAGTTTAACGTTAACTACCTGTTGCACAAATACTTATGATTAAAGTATGCTTTTTTGCAAACACTCTACAGAGCTGTCAGCCTTATGTTCTTTCTTTATTATTTATTTATTAATACGAAAGTGTTTTATGCCGGGGGACCACTAAGACTCCATTTTACTGACGTTATTTTCGTGACGGAAATAATGTCAGCAAAATGAGCACGAATGGATGCCAAACAAAAGCTACGAAAAATGTTCTGCGATGTGGGAATCGAACCTACAACTTCTTGGGCCACGATGATACATGCTTGGCGCTCTAACCACTGGGCTACCGGAACACACGCACACAGCTTCTTTACAGTTTATTTTTCTTTTTTTTTTTGGCGTACGCAGGGAGAAAAAGTAACTCCTAAGACAAAAAAAATGCAATAAAATTGTTCTACGCCCTCATAATTTAAAAAATTTACTTAATTCTTCCAGGTGAACATCAGGAAGGCAAACGAGCCTAGCGGATCACTTTACTTCCGCATGTTCGGCAACGAGCTGTCCTGGTTTGAACTGCCCACCATGGAAGACATCGGAAACTTCATGAACGGCGTACAGACGAACAGCTGGCTCGAGAAGGTAAGTATTGCTTGCATTAGACAGGTTAGGGACCTTTACCTGCCCTGTAAATGAACTACTTGTTATGACAAACTGGGCTGCCGTAACCATGGATAGGAGTAGCGAGACGTTTCCTTCTACAAGTGACGATACCCAGCTGGCACTTTGTCAAGTTACGGCACACTTGGAAAACGCTTTAGTAAGTTAATATTGCAAGAGCAAATATAGAGAAGGAAGTGTACTAGTATGTTTGAAGCCTGTCTGGGAGCAGTCTATCATACTACTCGCATAGCCTATACCAGCACTTCATGATGTGGCTAGGGCTCGCTTGTGCTATAAAACTGTTAGTTAACCCTTTGTGCGTTCATCTGTATTTTCTCATGATAACAGAAAATATGCCTGCGGAATATTCAAATGAGGAGCTTAGAAAGAGTACGTTATTTTTTTTTCCAAGGTATAAACCAATGGTTTACCCCTCCCCCCCCCCTCAAAAAAAAAAGGGGGGACATATCAGACCTGTGGACATATCAGACGTTCAGACCTGTGTGCCGCCACGCTACACCACCCCGTTTGATACCGTTCGTGCCATCGCCATAGTCCTAAGAGTGATTACGCTGCACAGGTCTCGTCCCACCGACTCATGAGAGCACCAACCTGTAATCATGTCGCCATATTTCTTGCACGAAAAGACCTGTCGCAAGGGGCACAAAGGGGCACTTCAAAAACTGCACAAAAAAGTTCTGGCGGGCCTCATTTCCATCTATGGTACACATTGTACCATAGACAGCTCATACTGTACCATAATGCTACTGTACATAATGCTACATGTACGTAATGCTACATAATGATACACAGTGTACCATAGACAGCCCCACTGGGCACAGCCAGTAGGTCTGTGCCCAGTGACTCTGAGTCTGAATTATTTGCACACATTAACCATTTGAACTTATTGTTGAGAGTAGTATGAGGCTCCGGGTCCTCCAAGGGGTGACTTTCTACACTATTACACAGACTATTACACTGTTTGCATTTTATTTTGTCCCTCTATGACACAGATTATGAGCAAGAAGCAGAACGATATCGCCCGCAGCGCCATGCTTGTTGACACCACCGTGACAGTGCCCACAGTCACCGGCTTTCCATTCCGGGTTGACCTTAAGGCGACAGTGACCGGCGGTCTCAAGACCGATGGCCAGATCAACCTCGCCAACGCTCCCAACGACATGCTCATCGAAGGTTTCATCAAGCCCAGGTGAATTAACTCTTTTAGCTGAACGCGTCGTGTGGTTTTGCAATCTATTGCAGATCTCTTCAGCGATCGGCCTGTGGTGGCTTCTGGTCTCGCCAAGTGATCGATAGATCTAAAACAAACATGTCCTAGCTTTGGAAGTAGTTTCCTTTTGCCTTTTTTTGCAAGTCGTGCTATAGGTGAGGCCAGTATTGGGTCAGCAATGTGCAGCGCAGCGCTTGGGACACTTCACGGATTCTCTGCAAGCTGGCTACCAGAAGCTTGGGCTACGAGTTAGGACTGGAAATGTAGTTTCGGACTTGGGCCGGCCTTTACTTCATGGGGCACATTTAACACATGAGAGAACTGAAGTGCTGAGGTTTAGGCCCAGTAATAGTATTAGTACAAGTCAGAAAGTGGTGTCGTTAGCACCACATGAATATTAGGCTTTACCAGAGGCATGCGCAGGATTTACGCCCCATTTTAAATGATCAGAGGCAGCGACCCCCCCCCCCCCCCTGCAAATGTATGCCTATGGGCTTCACTCGAATCAAGATTATTCACAAGGGCATTGTCTCTTCCAACAGCCGTTTTCCATTAGTCCCCCTCACAACCAACTGACGTTCCAGATGTTAGTTGTCTAGATCAAGGGGATTAAATACTGATACAAAGCCGCTGCGTCAATAAATGCACTACGCTATAACGTTGGTTCTTGTGGGTTTGCTTCCGCAGTGCTTCAATCGACATGAGTGGTCTGATGTCCATCGACGCCGGCGTTGCCAAGCGTGGAATTCGAATCCTGTCGACCATGCACACATCCACAGCGCTAGACGGCAAGATCGAGATCAAGCCCACCGGCGAGATGAACTTCAAGTACAACATGCGCAACGACAAGCAGGAGATCCTGAACATGAAGTGAGTGGGGCTCTTCCAACAGCGCGTTGTTTGCGTGGGTGTTTGCGATATTGGAGCACTGGTATGTGGTTTAACCTTCAGTACTTAGGGGCAAGGCTACATCTACAAAGGTATGTAGGCGAGTGTGCACAGAGCATTAGTACAGCCATACCCCTTTGTAAGAGACACTGATAAAAGAGACAAATGGGTATAAAGGACACCGGTGTGCCTACAGTAGAATACGGGTTGACTAGAAAATGCATACGAGGTACCCTGCCTATAAGAGACATCTCATATAAAAGACAAAAATTGCTGCCCAGAGCATGCCTCTTATAAAGAGGTTGAACTCTAATAAGTATGTTAAAGAATCACCTTATTAGAGGCAATTTCAACAGCATTAATGACAAGGGACATTGAAGGGTTATTTAAGACGAGAGTTTCTATAGTCTTTTGCCTTCAATGTCCTTTTTTGGTTAGCCCTGTTCACCTGCCTCTAAAAGATGTGCCAGATATCGTGCTGAAGTATCACGTTCGCTCGCCACTGCATAAAACGCACAGCTTTCTTATGAGGCACTTGCTGGACATTGAGTGGTAGTTGAGCATAAGATAAGATGCTGACTGTGTGCAATTTAGTGCATCATCAGTGTCAAACAGTGACTACGGGAGGAAGACTGCCTTCTGACAGAATAAAGTGAGGTAAACCATTCCGCACAATATAACGCTGTTTTGTTGACCGAAAGAACTTGACCTTTTATTAGCAGCCACATTATTGCAACTAATTGCTATTGCAAACAAAAGCAAGATAATTTATTGTTTTACACTTAAATGGGACAATGTGCCAGGCCTACTGTTACGAGATTCTGCAACACCAGGAACAAGGTCATTCCGCATGTATCCTCTGTTCTCCAGCTTCACGCAGCCCTATGCGCCCTATGAGAGTTCAGCTGCGATGATGGGCTGTGGTGTTTGGCCAATAGGGCAGAGCCATTTGCTGTATTAGAGTGACTCTTTGTGCTGGTTTCTATTCGTGCATCAGAGAGTGATCTTGATACAGAAAATATTAGTCGTACACAATACGCAGTGACTATTGCTTAATCGAAGGAAGTGTGGTCATCATGAAAAGTTGTATCGAATCCATTCCTTCCAGGACCGAGATCTACTCTGTTGAAGCCGAGACGGAGACGCCCCTGATGGCGCCATCCGTCAAGGAGTTCAACGGCTGCACTCAGACCCTGTCCAAGGCCCTGGGACTGAGCATTTGCGCGAGGGGCAAAGTGCCCAAACCCTTCTTCAACTACAAGGGTCTCAACCTTCCTTTCGACTTCAGCATCATCCTTCAGAAGAAAGACCTCACCATGGAGGGATACGAGATCAAGATGAAGTACCCGATGGACATTTCGGTGAGCCACTCGGACCTCCCATCCTGACGCATTCTTTAAAGCCCAAAACATATGCAGCGTTTTTTCAGTGTTCCCAGCGTTTCGTACGCCGGCTTCACTCAGCGTCGACGCTGCCGGTGATGGTGGCCTAAACGTCCACTTCTGAATGATTCAGATATCTGCAGCGTCGGCACCGGCACTGTATTCAAGTTGATTGATGGAGAACCAATCAGTGCACGGCTGCCAGTGACTTCTGCTACGTAACAGTATCGTTTCTGCTGCCAAAATGGCTGCTGCCTGCCTCGGATCTTTTAAGTCATCGCCGTGCTCTGTGTGATCCAAAAATTTTCAGCTGATGCTTGTATTTGACTTAGCTTGTTCCTCAGAGGCTTCGACAAGAAGTGGTCAGGATTTCTTTGAACCCTTTTCGAGCGCCATACTCAAGTTCATCAGTATGGTTAGCAGGCCTGAGTATATTGGCTGAATACATGGCCTCAAAGATGTTCAACTACTTCCAAGCTCAGGGGCCGTATATATCGAGTTTCTGGTTCTTCTTATTCTCAACAACTGGTGCTAGAAGGGAAAAAAAAACTTTTCCATGGTAATTATTTGTTTTTCTCACCTCAGAACTGCAAATAAGACATGAAACCGATTTTGAGGATTATTTCTTGTTGCTACATGGAAGGACACGGCACACTATATTGCAAGTTCTTGGGTTCATTCTCGTTGACACACACTGCTACGCTGAGCTGATGCTGGCCCTGGCACTCCTGATATGGTTTGCCACCCTCTCTGGTGGCGTTGACGCGATGATGCCAGGGAAAGCGGAGCAGAGAAAACGCTGGCAAAAACACTGCATATGTTTCAGGCTTTATCGATCTCTTGTTCCATTGCTCTTGTTTTGACAAATATCGCTAGACTCTCCAGTGGGCCGCCATTGAACTTGAATGATGTCATACAGAAGACAAACATTTAGGAACCTGGCCTCAGAGTTCCTCAGCTCAGGAGGCTATATGGGCCCTCCTGCGATACCTAAAGGCAACTAGCCTAAGTGTTTATCTGTAGCTACGCTGAACTATGCTTGCTATTTGTAAATAATCTAATCTCATTTTCTCTGTCTCTCTGTCACTCACCATCCCGTTTCCCTCTTCACGTCAAGGGTAGTGAATAAAGTTAAATTAAACTATCATCCTTTGCTTTTTCTATTTCCCTGTCTATCTCTACTCGCACAACTCACTCGTTTTCCTTATAGTGCCTGCGGTGTTTTTGAGAAGTTTGAACAGTTATTTTGATTTCGTGCTCGATGCTTTAGGCTACACAACTGGCGTAGCTTCACGAAACAAACTTTCAGTACCTCAGTTCAAGCGTAACTCTGAGTAGACCATGCACGACCTGGCTGATACCGACACATCTCTTGCTCTTGCGTCTGTGTCCCTGCACTGTCTTTCTGGACCACATACATGGCAAAATTCGGCAGAAATCACCTCACAGGCTTCTGCATCGGAGCATTGTGTGAGATGGGTCAATATCAGAGACATGAAAACATAGTTATACAATGGTTATTGACTCTTGGTGGTGAATAGTAAAAATATGAACATGCTTATAGAATAGTTAATAGCACATTAGTGATTAGAAAAGAAGGTGCTACTGGACTATATATTGATGTTAATGCGCTCCAGAAGGCTATTGTCCTGAATAACAGCTCGCAGCAAAGCAGGTGACTTAAATGCAGTTGTTCTACATGAAATGCGTAGGAAGATTGGTGGATTATTTAAATGACATAAGGTTAGAGAAGGTCGCACAAGAGGCCGCTTTGAACAATTGGCACTCTATACAGCCGGTCTCATGAAGCAGGCAAATAAGGGCACTTGGTCTCCACGATAGCTGGATAGAAGGAGAGAGTGCTGATTTAACTATTGCTATCATTATGTTCTTGCAGAACCCCAACCTGTTCTACCAGTTTATCTTTGACACTCCGGGATCCGCAATCCAGCGCAAGCACATCATCGAGTTGGCCATCAACAAACCAGCCGATGGAGAGAACACCATGCACTTCCTGTACCACTGCCCAATGAAGAAGATCGAAGTGTCGAGTAAGTGTGACAACACGTGTCTCGTTTTTTGCACTCGGCTCAAGTGATTACGTGAGAAATCAGCATTCAATCACGCTGCCTCCGTGGCACTGTTCATTATGTGGGCCAATTGGAAAATCGAGCCAGAGCAAACGTCAATGCAATGTTAAGACAAAATACTAAAGTTGGCACTTCCATCCACAAGATTCCCACAAAACTTCGAGATACCTTAAACAGGGGTCTGGAACACACTTCAGCTAGCGGGGCACAGTAAAAAAATTTGATCTCTCGATAGAACGAGAAGGCAAAGAAAGAAAGAGTGTGCAAGGGTAGAGTGGGACCCCACTTTGAGCAAAATGTGAGCTAACAATGCCATTTGAAATAAAAGCCTTTCCAAAATCCTGTATATGGGTGATTTACGAAGGGAATTTCGTGTCAGGTTTTGATAAACACATATAAATTGATTTCCAGGATGACTGAAATCTGGACACCGATTCTGAAACACAGCCGTTTTGTTCGGTGGTTATCCTTTCATAAATGGAGGCCGGATTAAGTGTCTAGGAAAAAAAAAAAGGATGCTTGAGATCAGTCGCACCCGATAGCTCATAAACATTTTCAAAGAAAATTTTTGAAAATTGATGCAAAGGAAATAATTATGGCAGGCCGGGCCGTGTATTTGAGACCCCTGTTTTGAGGTCTTGTGAAGCGTCATAATGGACTCGCAACGTCACGTAATGTTCAGTCAAAATACTTACGTGACCTTGCCCTAGCAATGACACATCACATATCGTACAAATTCGCCAAGTCACCTTATGGCATCAATTTGATGTCATCACCCGACATCGTTGCTTGGTCATAGGTTGGCAGATCATGGGAGCCCCGCAGAACTGTGCGAGGGGTAGTACTTCTTCATGATGGTGGAGAGGAATGATCAATACAATCGACTGAAAAGAAGATGACGACTTTTGCCTTTGAGTCGTTGACCACTCTTAATCGAACCTGGCTAAATGCCGGCTATATCCAGGAAATCAGGCAAAAAAATGCCTGGTTTTCTTGCCATATCTAGCACCATAAGCGAGAGCTGATTAAGATCGAGTGTAGGCAAATACATGAAGGACCGTGTGAGTTTTTTTTTTTTCGACGTCCAGCAAAGCTGCAACTACTTCTATGGAGATACATTTGACTTTCGTGTTGTGACCGGTTCTTATGAAAGATAGATAAACCAAATTTCTCTTTCTCTGCTATCTAGCTGCGCTAAAGGCACACAGCAGCCCTGCACAAGTGATGTTCGAGGCGAAAGTGGACGACAACCGGCGCTACTTTGTCAAGCTGGACATGCCTTACGGGCAGAGTTTGAACGCGGTGTACTTCGAGCCGAGGCTCGAGATGGGATGCCCCGCGACGCAGCCCTTCCTGCTGCAGGGAAGGATCGATGGGAGCTCCTCGGAACTCTCCTTGAACCTGCAGTCCAACATGCCAGCAGAGAAGCCCGTCTTCCTTAGAGGTAAGCAGCAAGTCATACAGCAGCAGTGAGCGAGAGAAATTAGACAAGAATCCTTGTTAAAAGGGCCCTGCGATGTGTTTTCAAAGTAATCATCCAATGGCTGGTTAAAGGAGTTCATTGCTTCATGAATTGACTACCGCAAAAATTTTTAGAGATTGTCAAGTACGAGCGGAGTTACAGGGAACTGTTGCATGCTTTAAGCGTTTTTCTCTCCTTTCGTCCTAGCAAGCGCACTGAAAACTATGCAGGGAGGAAGAGACGGCAAGGGTGCAGGAAGTTACGTCTGTTTGTCAGCGCAATTCAAGATATTGAACACTTTATTTTATTCTTTTTCTTCGCTTTGCTTACTTTCAGTTTGATCACAGGCATGTGTTTGGACATGTAGTGCCATCCTGTGGCAGCTATGGTAACTAGGCAGCTCATGATGCTCAAATCAGCCAATGGTCATGAACTCTGTGTCTATCGGGTGGTCAGGTTCTGCGCATTTTATTTATTTATTTTTAGTTCTTAATATTTCTGCTGTGTTAACCCACTCTTGCGTTCAAAACTTGCTCATGCAGATCAACGGTGCCGTAGTGGTCATATGGCTTTGGAACCTTACTTCGCCTTCTATCTTGAATGCATTGCATGTTGAAATTTACCTTTTTTTTTAAGGCTGCCTGCTTTTTATTGTAGTGCATTGTACGTGTTTATTTCTTTTACTTTTAATTTTTTGCTATGTTAACCTACTTTTACACTCAAAACTCTCTGTGGACAGTCAAAACTGCAAGGAAAGCAGTTGCAATCTTGAAGATGACAAGTCCGCTTGCCGAAACGTCGGCTACACCGGCATCCTATGTTCAGGAACTTTTCATAAAGAAGATAATGTCATGCACTTCGAATGAGGCCCCGCCGATCCAACATCGACGTGCGGCAGACTCGCAGGCTTCCACTTTACGCTTCGGCCTGCGACACCTGAAAGGCCTCGAAGTGGCACATTTCGAATTTATTCGCGGGTTGGTCGACCCGTGCGACGTTGCACGTGTGGTGATGTGTGGGCCTGACCGACGCACTCATAAGCAGACACGGAGTTTGATTACACATAAACATGCATTTAATTAAAGCAGGGGCAAAGGCAGGAGATTACAAAAATAACAAAGGAGGAAAACTGATACGCGCGATAGAAACAACAGCAATATAACAAAATGTGCTAAAAACACTACAACAGATACAAGCAAAGACCAATACGCGGAATGTTAATAAAATAACGACAAAATGGAAATCAGAAAAGAGCGATACAAGGAAATAATTAGAGAATGATCATTGGTCGCGCTTTTGAATTTCTAAGTGCGTCGCAGCGCACACAACTACACAGTTTAAAAAGAAAAGGCTGGTTAAAACAATTTAACAGTTTAAAAAAAAGTCACAATAAAAGTTCCATACGGACCAGGCCAGCTCTTGGTGCACGTAGGGGAGTTGACGGGTGCCGCTGAAGGTCTCGCCGGCTTGGTAGACGACGAGGGTGCCCGGAATTGCAGCCGTCTCAATACGTTGCGCGGGTCACTCCGTGCTCGCCGCCTACGCGAGACTCGCGACACCGACGACCGCACTTGTTGCTGGCTGTACGTCAACTGCCTTTTCCGATGCAGTTCAAACCGCCTCAGGGGCGTCCACGTGCTCCCATCTCATCTGGGAGTAATTTTCCTTGTTGAGACCGCTGGTTTCCCTTCCGGTCAGGGGCAGGGAAGACGAGCCGGCGCCACGCTGGGTCGTTATAGTCGCCGGATGTCGTCTCCCAACACAAAAACGCCCTTCCTTGGAAGATGGGGCCCGCGGATGCTCCGAAAATTGGAGTCGTTTGTGACATAGCCCCCTTCTTAAGAATATTACTTCGTAATGTTCAACGAAATCACAAACGCTCAATGTTCGAGAGCCTGCCGTGTTCCGGTTGTCCACCAATGCGTTTTCTTTTTCGCGCACATCATTTCGCTGACGTGGACGACACCGCAGAGAACACCTGGCACACTACGCTTCACGGTCACCATAAGGTGAAAGTCATAACTCGCGCACAACGTCATGGCCGCACACATTCGATAAGAAAATCACAAAAATACTGCACTATTTAAGGAAAAGGCACGGAGGCATTCTTTCATGCCACATATTAAAAAATACAGGCTGTAAGCGGTATACAAACGTCACTTATTCACGCGCAGATTTAAAAAAGATGAATGAGAAAGAAATTGGCATAATCGCCTGTACACAGTTCCGGTACTTGCTGCACACTAAAGCGCTTCATTTCGAAGTGATAATAAAAAGTAAAACTTTCAAGAACAAAGCGTCATGTTTATCACACAAGCTTACCTCGTTATACTTCGGTAATATGGCCAAACAGTTTTAAAGAAAAACTCAAGTTATTAAAATAATAATATCCCTAAAACAAGGCTTTCTAACTGAACGTGTAAGAAGATGAAACAACAGATCATCGCTTAGAAACACAAAGACGACACAAGAAAATCAATAAAATGGCTAAGCGATTGGTCCCAACATTTATCAAATGCTCCAAATTGAAAAGACAGAAAGGAACATTATTTCAAAAAATGTCCTTTTTCTTTAAGGCCACGTTTTTCACTTCGATGAGCGTAACCTTCATCCGCGCTCGAGGCGGTCGCGCTCTCGGGGGAGCCATTCTAAGCAACCGGGGCAGACGAAAGCGTGTACGGCTGCTACACGGACACCTGTTTCCCTTTAGTCTACACCTCGGAGGCATGCCTTCATCGACACCGCGTTCTACGGAAACGGGTCTCCGAACCATGCCGTGCCGCTCGGCCGAAAGGCGCTGCCTCACAAAGCGCCCCGCGTTTCGAGCAGGACAATGGAGCGAAGGGGGCTGGCTCTTTCGAGCTCCACGAACGAATGCTTGCCTCCCCCCTCTACCTGTCGGGTGGTTTGGAGCATGGCAACCCACTCTACTGGCGAATGCCACAAAACGCAATTGAAGCTTTCGTTGCGTTGATTGCCGTTTGGCAATTCTCGATTTCATGGGTGGATTTACACCCTTCGCTTCTCTCTTGTTCTTGCTTTTGCGGCGTCTTTTTCTTTTTGCACGTTGCTCAGTGCTCACTTTCGAAAAGTCCGCTTGCAACATTTGCAGAGCAGAACTTCTTTCGCTTGTCTCTTCGGCTATAATGCCTATACAGTCGGGATTTTGCGTTAACTTGTGGACACCCTGACTTGCGGGAAGCTTGACTGACGGCTGAGCAATGCAAGCGTATTCCTCGGGGCTGCGCCGCTCGCACCTGGAAGAACTACTTGCCCCAACATTGCCCAGCTCGCAGTGTGCGTCAGCCCCCGACTGTGCCCCGCTCTCTGTACAGGGGTCCTCACCTACCGGGCCGGAGGTACTGCGAACTTCACATTTAGCTGCTATGGCGACGCACAAACAGGGTGGCTGTGCCAAGTCCATTACAGATGGCATTTCTGTATTAACAAGACTTTCCAGGCACAGCGCCTCGTCGCCATCACTGCGGCCTTCAGTGGCCTTTGTGGCCACAATGGGACTTTCAGCAGCTAACTCAGTAGATTCACTCGCGAACCTGATGTCCGCCTGAACAGTACAAAAGTTTTGCCCGGCTCTCAGCGGTTTGGCACCTACGGTTTCTTTGCCCCTTTCGTGCCTTGCATCCCAGGTCTCAAGCATGCGTCGTCTACTTTCGATTTTCTGGCGCAGTAGTTGCACATGATCTTGGTAAGACTGCTTGTTCGGGACAAGGTCGGTCACGCTACTGGGCGTTCTAGCGGCTAAGCTGAGACCCGACTGCGTCGCACACAATCCCAAGCGCTCTTTTTCCTTTTGAATTCTAAGCCTTGAATTTTCTCGCTCCTGTTCCATCGAAAATTCCAGATGTTGCCTGTACCTAATGCGTTCGGCATCGCGCTCCTCTTTTAAACCTGTTTCGTTCTTTTTCGACGAAATTATATAACTCCTTGCCTACAAAGCCAAAGGCTTTGCCCTGTTCAATAAGCCTGTCAAACACCGTGTCGTCCATTGCTATACACAGTTGTCAACCAACAAAGCAATAACAGACCGGCTACACACTGAACGCTCAGAGTTACGTCAGTCTCCCAGACATCACCACGTGGTCGGCCAGTCCTGTCGCGGACGCCAGATAATGTCATGCACTTCGGGTGAGGCCCCGCCGATCCAACATCGATGTGCGGCAGACAACATCGATGTGCGGCTTCCACTTTACGCTTCGGCTGCGACGCCTGAAAGGCCTCGAAGTGGCACATTTCGAATTTATTTGCGGGTTGGTCGACCCGTGCGGCGTTGCACGTGTGGTGATGTGTGGGCCTGACCGACGCACTTATAAGCAGACACGGAGTTTGATTACACATAAACAAGCATTTAATTAAAGCAGGGGCAAAGGCAGGAGATTACAAAAATAACAAAGGAGGAAAACTGATACGCGCGATAGAAACAACAGCGATATAACAAAATGTGCTAAAAACACTACAACAGATACAAGCAAAGACCAATACGCGGAATGTTAATAAAATAACGACAAAATGGAAATCAGAAAAGTGCGATACAAGGAAATAATTACAGAATGATCATTGGTCGCGCTTTTGAATTTCTAAGTGCGTCGCAGCGCACACAACTACACAGTTTAAAAAGAAAAGGCTGGTTAAAACAATTTAACAGTTTAAAAAAAAAGTCACAATAAAAGTTCCATACGGACCAGGCCAGCTCTTGGTGCACGTAGGGGAGTTGACGGGTGCCGCTGAAGGTCTCGCCGGCTTGGTAGACGATGAGGGTGTCCGGAATTGCAGCCGTCTCAATACGTTGCGCGGGTCACTCCGTGCTCGCCGCCTACGCGAGACTCGCGACACCGACGACCGCACTTGTTGCTGGCTGTACGTCAACTGCCTTTTCCGATGCAGTTCAAACCGCCTCAGGGGCGTCCACGTGCTCCCATCTCATCTGGGAGTAATTTTCCTTGTTGAGACCGCTGGTTTCCCTTCCGGTCAGGGGCAGGGAAGACGAGCCGGCGCCACGCTGGGTCGTTAGAGTCGCCGGATGTCGTCTCCCAACACAAAAACGCCCTTCCTTGGAAGATGGGGCCCGCGGATGCTCCGAAAATTGGAGTCGTTTGTGACAAAGACAGATGACCCTTAATGTTTCATGGGCTTTGGTATACTTTGCGGATTTCTGTAGACCTAATTTGTTAGCTAATGTTTTTGCAACTTCAGCTCTAGTGTAGTTACAGTTCTTGTAATCGTGACACAAGTGGTTGGCTTGACTACTATAGATTTTCTTAGAAGCCATGTTCTCGAAGTCTTCAGGCATTCCTGGATATTCTAGGGAAGGTTTCTTTTCTTTCTTTTTTGTCTTTGCCCATGCAGCTACTGTCTCCATCGATGATAACAAAGTCCAGGCGGACCTGTCCACGAGGATCCCGATGTTGGAGATCAACTTCAACTCGCTGTCGACCAAGCCCCAGGAGAGCACGATCGTGACAGCCGCCACGCTGGAGTATCAGTGGCGCGGACTGAGGAAGCACACCGCCAAGCTGAACGCCAAAACCAAGAACCTGAGCACCGAGCACATGGCCAAGAGTGCTATCAACGCCGAGATGCAGTTCAGCGAGTTTCCCGAGTACAACTGGAAGGTATGATAAAGTTGCATCTTGTAGCAATATGTGACGTTAAACAGGGTGCAAATTGAAAACAACAAACGTTCGGAGACACGTTCACTCAACCACGACAGTATATTAAACTGAAGTGCGAGTCAGCGCCTGTCCTTTTTTATTGTGATAGCAATTATATGGATACTCTCTGCTGGATTCTGCCGCCGGCATCGACGTCGGCATTGCCGTCACTCACCGTATATGTATACGTATCCATATATATGTAAACGCAAGAAAGAAAAATAATCGCGAAAAAGACTCTGGCGCCCAGAATTGAACGTGCAACCTCTGAATCGTGAATGGTAGGTGCTTAACCACTGAACCACGGAAGAGCACCTCCTTCAAGGTTTAAATGGCGAGCTATTTATATCTACCACTTACTACTGCTGTAGGGCATCTCGGTGGGGGGGGGGAACTATCGTGTTTTCAGCATCACCAGCAAGTTGGCGCAATGAGCACGCGTCGCCACGTCGTCATGACTCGGCGGTATGCGCTCTCATTTTCCATGCGTATTTGCTCCATGGAGAGGAGGAGGGTGGACGCTCGCTCGCGTGCCCTTATCTCACGGTAGGGAGGATCGTACGTTTTGGCTGGCCTTCGGCTTGCACTGCAACGATTCTGTTGTAGTTACCGGGCACACAAAGGTCACTGCAATCATTTCACAGTCTCCGTTTGCGAAAAGGGTGCGCGTTTTAGACACAGCGAAGTAACAACTGAGATGCTTATTCGCGTTCATATGTACTTGTGAGTACGTTTCATGCGTCGTTTTTGCGTGAGAAAGGCGGGGCACGTTTTGATCTGCTTGCCATTTGGAGGGTGAGCTTCCAATTTGTTGCTATTGCATTCATTGCTTCGCCTTTGCGGCAAAGCTTGTGACTTTTCTCTTTTCAGTCTGTCCCTTGTCTTTTCTGCTTTTCATTTGCACATGAAGGAGGAGGAAAAACCTTTGTATAAACCGGCAATGCCAGACAGCCCTTATCTCCACTGGGCTGGTCGACATTCCTAGTCTGGTGCGCCATTAGTCGAAGCCACCTACCGAGCCCCCTGGACCAGAGTTTGCTGTTCCTCTAGTACGGAGCTATTGAGCAGGGTCACCTCCCAGTCCTGTTTTGTGGGGTTGGGGATGGGGGCTTATTTTGGTTTCATTTGGCAGACCCAGATCATATGGCCACTTCAGTGTTGTACTGTGATGAAGTTGCACAGTACTGGCACTGCCAACTTATTTTTGGGCCATAATGTTGAAAACAGAGGAGCACGTTCGTTTGCACGTGAATACGTACCAACTTGCCCAACTTTACACTTTGATGCGTAGTAGTATAGTTTCGCACGAACGTTTCTTTCCTTTCGGCGCAGTTGAAGTGTCGTACATCGAGAAGACAAACCTATCGCATTCTTCTCTTGAGCGCGATGCTCAAGCGTCCTCCAAGTGTAGGGTATCAATCCGGGCACGTGTTTCGTTGACCTTTCCGCTTTGCCTTAGTTTACTCCTGTAGTTTCTTTATTATGATAAATACGTCAAATATGATGAGCTCACTGTGCCTCATCTGTCATCAGCGTTCTATTGACGTGCTTTCGTATGGACGTAATTTGTATTAATGTGACTATAGACTAATGGACGATGGCCCATCTTCAACTTTGATATGTGACTAGATTTCTCATTTTTATAATGCTGTCAAACAAAAAACAGAATGGAGATCGCTCAGGTGAAGCCAGTGCCAAGCAGGCTCTCCGCCTGTAGCTACATCATCACCAAAACAATGTTGCTAGGCAACTAGGTGCTTATTTAACGCCCACCACAACGTAATGACATAATTGAAATTTAGGTAGGTGCCTAGCTAGTCTTCTGAGCCTTGATCTCTGGTCAATAGTAGGATGGGAGGGGAGGACGATGTGGGGATGTGAAGTGGTAGGTAATTGTGAAAGTGGGGAGATATGCCATGTACAAGAAGTTAACTATCTAAATACCTCACGAAGTTAACTATCTGTTTGTCTTGTTTTCCACATGCTGAATCTATACCAGCTTGCCCAGTATACCACCTCAGTTCATCTTAAACATCTACGATTGGTGGATGATCAATATCTGCCACCCAGCCAGTCTTGTTTACCTCCCTGCTTCTCTTATCTCTTGATCTAAATCTCACCAGTTCAAACCTAACCTCGACATGGTTTCATAGCGGGTGCTGTTATTAAGTGGTCAACAGTGGCCCAGAAAAAAGAAGAGAAGGTGTCTAATAGAGCATAGCGTGTACACCACAGTGCTTAAAGTCTGTTTTTCACTTTCTCTTCCAGCTGATCACTGATTTCCAGAAGGCTCCTGGAGCCCAGCACAAGGAGCACGACATCAAGCTCTGGTGGGGTGAGGACTTTGGCGAGGACCAGCGTCACATCCACGTGCTGACCATTTCCAAGCAGGATGGCGAGTACAGGCAGGGCAGCAAGGGAAGCAGCGAGGGCCGACTCGTCGTCCTCGCGCCCGTGTGGGACATCGATTTCAACGGTTTCTTCAACGCTATGCTCGACCTACAGGTGAAGGGGCTTGCGGCCTTTCTCATATAACATCATGTTTTTGCAAGTGAAGGTAGGATGAATGTATTGTTATATGAGGTATTGCTGTACGTGAGCATGCCGTTGAAGACTGCCCAGTAATGAAGAGAGAATGAAAAGGTGGCACACCGCGCAATCTGTTGTCAGTCATTCTGTGGCACAGCTCCTTGTGAATATTGTAATATCATGCACATGATTGTTTCGGCGAAGAGGGCCACAACAAGATTGAAAAATACAAAGCCCTTTATTTGGGTGAACCTGTTCCCAGGAAACGGGAAGTTAGGGTACAAGCAATTCATGCTGCGCGAACAGAGCGCTGGCCGTCGGCAATCTGTCCGTGCGTTGGCTTTTATACATGTGTTAGCAAAAAAGCAGGGTCATCGCTGGTGGCCGCTAAGTTCTCGAATAAACTATTGGCATCTTGCACGCAGTCTTTAAGTTTGAAACTGTGAAGTTTTTGAATATTTCGGTGCAGTCTGTGCGCAGCATTGTTAACAATCTTTGCGAGTGGAGTCCAAGTACATTGAAATAAGACATGCATTGCAATATACTCGCCTCTTTCTTGACTGTCTGCTTGTGATCCTCATGACAACATTTTAAGGTGTGGCATAGTCTTCAATGGCATGCTCATTCATAATGCCTCGTGAAGTATATACGTGCACACAATATACATGAACATACGTGAACACTTGCACAATGTGCGGGAATGGCACATCGATTTGTTTACATTGGTGTAAAGTGTAGAAAAAAAGTGGGGCAGAAACTTCACTTGCGAGAACTTGTCATTCTTTGAGGTCACTAATAGTTCTTTTTACCATCAGTTAACGTTAACAGCAATGTTGGGATTATCTACCCCCATATAACGCAACATAGACGTACCTGCGATTCCCCTTGTACTGCAAGTTATCAGCTGACTGCCTTTGGTGCATTGACCCTTAGCGGCAGAATGCTAAGCATGTGTGAAAGAAAACGAAAGTCATTACTGGTTCAATTTCTATGTCTTTTTCATTCCGGGCTGATCCCATCGACCATGACGACTGCAGGACTGTCTCGAAGGGCACCTTCAATGGAGAGTTCCAGAGCCACGGTGAGCGGGTGATGCAGATCGAGATGAACCACAACCTGGAGTCGCGCTCCCCATTGCGACTCTTCCTGAACGCTCGTGTCGAGACACGTCACTTCCGCTTCCTGTATTCAGATCAGCTGGAAGAGCGTAACCCCAACCAGTACTGTGGGCCGCACCAACGTTGAGTGGGGACGTGAGGGCAAGAGCATCGCCACCGAGTATGTCGTCATGAGCCGCCAGGGGCCTGACAATAGCCTTCACGACGTCGAGTACAAGATTAGCTACCCAGGCATGAGGATGCCTGCCGTACACAGGACCAAGATCAGGACGACCCGCGGTACGCTTGGATGCCACATCTTCGACCGAGGTGAACGGCGAGAACTACATCCTCATCTCCGTCCAGAACACACTCAAGCTCAAGGAGTTCCGTTTCGAGAGTACACTCCTGCAAACCAAGCTCTCCAAGGCCACAAAGGGCCAGAGTGCCATCTACGTGGCCGAGCTGAGGCCGAAGTTCGCGATGATCAATGCTTTCTTAGCGACCATGCAGGTGAAGGGAAACTCCAGGAACAACGCTGAAGTGCAGGCCGAGCTCCTGTGGGACGCCGACCGATACCCCGACAGGAAGGTGCGCTTCAGCTCGAGCCACGTCAAGATCTCGACCGATGGTCACCCTGCTTTCCGTTACAGCGCCACATTGCAGCACGCCAACTGACATGAGCATCACCGCCAGTGGCACTTACAGCGTGGACCTGTCACAAGGTCCTTTCGCTATTGAAATCGGTGTGGGTGGCACCCACCTTACCCCAAGGACTGTCTCCCTTTCTTACACGCGCCGCGAGACATCAGCAAACGTCATGTTCGGCTACACCCGGGCCGGAGCCGACCAGTTGAGGATCGAGTACAACCGCAACGAAGCCAACTCCGTGCAGCAGTTCGATGTGAGTGCCACATCAGTCCATCCCGAGCTGAACTGGCAAGCGCTTGAACATCGTGCGCAACCTGGGTGGGCCCAGGTACTTCAAGATTCAGTACGAGCACTCGGCGAACGAGATCTATGGCCTCGAGCTGACCGACTCTTCGGGAAACAACCGCATCAACACAAACTTGAAGATTCGCAGCCCTCACCTGCGCTATGCTTCGAATGAGATCACGCTTACTGGTGACTACTCTCCAGCTCGGACGAACCTCATCTTCGAGGCATACACTCAGTCGGAGATGGAATACCGGATCACCTTTAACTACGAGCTCACCGGCAACACCGCATTCGCGACGTCTCTTGCTATGGAGGTCCCGAAAGGAAGCTTCCGCAACGGAAAGGTTTCTCTGAGGTACGTCGTCACACCATTTTCTGTAAGACAATGACAGTAGAGTGCAACGCTGTAGTGCAATAATTAGTTTGAGGCTTAAGAGCATACAACTCAACTCGAGGGCATCATTTGCAGAAATCTTGTATTTCACGAAAATAAGTTTAAAATGTCATTAAACGCAGAATTCGTCCATATGCATAATCTGTCTGTACGGCTGTCTCTGTATAAGTGTATTGTAGGGCCGTTCGTTTAGTTATTACATATACAAAACTAGCATTGTTAACATCTGAAAATGGTGGCACTTGCACTCACCTATGAAATAAGCCATCACTAAAGCAAAGAATCACACAGACATCAAAACAGCAAGATGGGACGAAGTGCACATTGGACTGTAGACTGTAGCAAAACAGTGAAAGACACTGTAGTGCACACGTTTAAGAAACTATTCACAAATGACATTCTACAGCAAGCCAAAAATGCTCTAATAGGCTACGCACTGGGCTCTCTTGATTTAGTTGGAATATTGCGAGGCTTCGTAAAAGATCTGGTACTCAGGGGCAATGCAGGGACATGTATGTGGGGTGAGTAAAGTTTCCGTGCTTTACTGATTTTGGAAGTTTTTCTTTTTCAGGCTCAATCGCAGCCCCGAGACCACAGAAGGTCAGCTCTTGGTCGAGCACAACGATCGTGTCGAGCTCGACCTCACGGGCAACGTGCGCACGCAGTCTGCTAACAACTTCGATGGCAGGATCGCGCTCAGGTCGCCAGCCGTGAAGACTTCGAAATCCTGGTGTCGAGTCGCTCGAGCGCACTCCTCAATGGAGTCTACGAGCTGAAGATCATTGACCAGTCCAACAATCCTATCACCGCAACTCTGACACTAAGCGACAGGCCTCGCGATTTCACCGGCACACTGGACCTCTCTGGCTGGCTATTTGAACGGCGGCCGTACCTCCAAGTGGAGAGGAAGATTCCCGAAGCTGAACACCGCGTGTACTCCTTGAAGGTCGGTGATACGAACAGCGAGGTCGTCCTCTTGGCAGACACCGCAAAACGAGGCGACGTGCGCGTCACAACGTTCAAGTATCAGCCGCGGGACAAGCCTCAGAACTGGGCCTCGGTGACTATCGAGAAGAACGACTGGAACCCCCAGCACTGAAATGCTGATGGTCACAGTCGAGCCGAAGGCCAACTTGAAGACAACATTTGACTTCTTGTACCTCATCACGAAGGGCTCCCTCAAGAGCAAATTCATCTGGACTCTGGATGACCTCAAGCTGGGCTATGACCTCAAGAGCAAGGCCGAGGGTGACAACGCGTACAACTCGCTGCTCAAGATCCTCTACCTAAGGCGCGAGATTGACGTGCACAACCACTATTCTCACACACCGGACTCCATGGAGCTCTCCACCAGGATTCTCCTCAACGCCATCATGATGCCCGACCGGGCTCTCGAGATGACCTACAGGCACAACAGGATCCAGAATGGCTGGGAGACCACGGCGGTCATCAGGCACCCAACGTTCTCTAACGTAAGTGGAGTGGTGGAGGTTTGTTTAAAATGATCAGAGGAGGGAGCGGCGGGGAGGCGGAGGGGGGGGGGGAATAAGCTGGATATGCTGCTGTCGCTGTGCATTCCTTACTGTCAAGTGATAATCCCTGTCGGATACAACTTTAAAAGTCTGCGGCATTTTCTCGCTGAGTACGGATGCACACAAGGCTGCACCAATGGGCATGCACTTCTGACTGACGTCATCAGCCAGACAGCCAATGACACTGCCTTCAGAGAAGGTTGCCGAAAGCATAAGTGGTACATAAGTGGTACTATATTTCTTTAGTTGTGGTAGTAATCAACTACTGCGCTTCAATGGTCTGGGTTTAGTCTCTGCTAACTTGTATATATATATCTGACTCATACGCTACCACGTGGGCCACCTTTAATTTAGCTTTGTTCTTTTAGAGGCCCCAAAACGTGGGACCTGAAGCATGAGTAGTAGTGGGGATAGTGGGATTAAGGTCGGCAACTTTACAGTCAGGAAGACGGTCCTCTCGGAAGAGCACTATAGGTAAGAATGGCCGTGGTAGCTTGGCTGGTAAGGTGTCGCACTTCTGGACTCGTGAGCACGGGGATTAACTCCCTGGAACTGCAGTCGCATTTTTACTGTGGCAAAATGCTTGAAACTTCTATACTCAGACCTAGGTGCACGTTCAAAAACCCCAGGGGGTAGAAATTGTTCAATTGTTCAAGAGTACCTTACAATCATATCATTGTTCTTTTTCGTAAAGCCCCAGCAATTATTTGCACTGTTGAATAGCACAATAGAAAAGTTGCAGTGCTGGCACTTAGATTGCAACAGGCAACAATACGGGTGACCATTCTGATAAGAAGTGTTGTATTTTAAAGACCGCCTTTATATAATGTTTTCAGTAATGACATCAGATTAATGACATCTAGATAAACCGTAACAAGCCTTTTCTTTTCAAAATCTGAACAAGGTAGGACTTCAGCGGAACATGGAGGATTGGAGAGATGAATATTCTTGAATAGGGAAACAAGGCCTGCCTTTCAAGACACTTCCTTGAAGAAAACAAAGCTACTTGTTGAAACGTGACTGCAGTTACACATTCTATTCAAGAATATTCTTTGTTTGTTATTTTAAGAGCCTCACATACCTGTAGCAGTATTTATTTATTTATTTTTATTTACAAGATACTGCAGGCATGGAGCCCAAGCAGGAATGGTACAGGCAGTAAGCAATTAAGCCAAGCATCACACAGCATACAATAATCCAATCATCACACACATACAACAATAATGCAACCAAGCTTATCATAACAGCAATGAATTAACGAGAAAGAGCAGGCATTTAAAGTTTGATGTCCAGCTGTCAGCTTTTGATTAGTCGTTCATGAAGATTAAAGGTGCATTTCGTTCTCTACAGCTGGGGATGTAGCTATGCAACCCATTTTTGATTATATTCGGAGCGAAACGAAAACTTGTAACGATGTCGGTTCTATCTTAGGACATCACCTTCAACGGGAAGATTCAGAAGGACATCTCGGAATCCACTCCTCTGCTTGTGTCTGCACAACTGCAGCCAGGAGATGCCTCAAACAAGATGTACTTCAACCTTGTTGAGAAGCTGAATGAGATCACGGCGACCAACAAATCGGTTCACATTCACATCCATCACGAAGGTTAGTGTGTGCACAAGTGTGGGAACATTTCTTGTGGGCGAGGCAGAGCTGATCGCTTTTGAGTGTAACTTAAGTAGGGGGAACATGCAGGCCTAATGCATACGTTCAATGTGATGCGTGGTATGTTTATTGTAGACTCATCTATGTTCGACATGAATGTCTTTATGAGAAAGAAAAACTATGATGCCAAATTTCGCGCCCATTTCCTCTTATAACAAAGCCTCGGCGATATGTTCATGCTGAAAAAGGTTATGTGACCAGGATAAGAAGGTGGGTCTGGTGAGAGGAAAAGAGGTAAAGGGGGTCACATGATGAATGTTTAATTGTTAAGGTGGGCAATGCAGACAGTTAAATGAGAGGGGAGCTCTTGCCCTTGAAATGGCAGGAGGCAGACAATATATATGACAGGAAATAAACTTAGCAGGAAGAGATTCTCTGGGAACACACGCCAACCAGAAACATCAAGTGAAGCTAAAAACATGACTTAGTTTAAATAAAAAAACAGCTAAGAAATTATTTCGAGGTAATTGTACAAAATGAAAGAAGGTACTTGAAGTGACCAAATAAAAGGGTAACATCTTTGCTGTATTAGGATTTGACAGCATGAGGCCGACTAGATTTTTTTCCTCCTCTGCGCAGACCGCAGTCTGTTCGACACCAGCATGACGGTATACCACACCATCACACCCGAGCGGCCCGTCTTTGCCGGCTACTACTGGTCGTGGAACACTCAGAAGCAGGGGCCCAAGCGAGGACATGCCACCCTCTTCAGTAGGACGTAACGGAGCTGCAGAACTCAATGTGAGCGCCATCTTGTGAACCTCTGCTCTGCAACTGTCTGCTACGTCAGGGGTCTCAAACTCACGACCCGTGAACATTACGCTAGGGTCATGGCATGCGCATGACTTTCCTGGTTACACATTTTACTAATTAGTGCTTTCATGAACGTTGAACATTGCTAAATGGTACTCGCATTATTTTCTCGCCTATCGCTATTAATAACGCCTTGTTTGGGCCAGCTTTGAAAACATGACTGCTCTCAACGATTTTTCTCTCTGAGGCACCACATATGGTTACTGTGTGTTGAAACATAACCGAGGAACAAAAGCTCTATATTTTGGAATCAATGCCCAGATTTCAGTAATTCTGGAGATCTGTATGGGAATGGCCTTATATAGAATGGAAACTTTAACTATGACTTTTTTTTCAGTGCAAAGTAGCAGAATCTTGGGATTTTGCCTTTGACCCACTAGTTATTTCCACTTTCTTTCTCCAAATGATAATGTATAGATAATTTTCCGAAGCTGGTTTGCTCACTCAAATCTAGATGGCACCACAACCTCATGAACGTTTCTTACCATGGCAGAATTTCTGCTGTGCCCTTTCTGCAGCACTGCTCAGCAACTGTTTTGCGTCCTCTTAGCGTCTGCGTGCATGCGAGTAAAAGCAAAGCAGATGCCACGGGGACGTCGAGCAGGTGACAAGACACGGATTTTCAGCAGTGCTTCAGAAGGCCAAGGCGAATAGATGGCTAGGTAGGCAAAGTCAACATGGTGGCACCTATGGGTGGAGTTTCCTTCCGCCTCAATCTCATAATGTCGTCTTGGGCTGTGTGGCCCGCAAGTTCTCAACTCATGTGCTTATTTGCTTTATATTTATGTCCTGAAGCTTGAGAGCAATGTATTCTTCAGTACTTTGCAGTGTTTTTTAGGTTCATTCTCGAATTCTCGGAGACAAGGCTTAGCAGGCACAGCCAAGCTCCTTAATAAAGACAGTACATACCTGATGTCTTGTCCCCAGTGTGATATGACACGAAGTAGTAGCTGATTTCATCATTTATTTATTGCTGTGACGACAGTGGGTGAGTAGCAAGAGTGAGTTTGGATCGAAGCAAATGGTTGCGTCTGCATAGGGTGCTGCCATGTTGGCTTCTAAACTGAGCTACCAGCACTTACGACCACAGCCGCTTCGCTGGCCTGATGCGCTCGCCTGGGCAACTGCCTAGGAGAAAGCCAGTTTACGGTCACGTGATCAAACATGGGAGCACGTGGGTGCCGCTGTGAAAATTGTCTATATCTTCACACAGTGGAAGTGTGGAAATTTCATGCACCGACGGCATTGTCCGTGAGAGGTCGCTGTCAGGGACATTACAAAAAAAAAATGAAGTAGTTTTTGAGGTTCTTGTCTTCTGGTTAACTTCTGTACCTTTCGTGCTCCTTGATGTTTTTCGCTTCCCCTCTCTCTCCTCACTTTTCGTGACGTAGTACGACTCCATTCTGGGAAAGTGGACGGCGACCGGCCAGTCCCAGAGGGCCCCCAATGGGGACGAGACGGTGGACGTCGTGTTCCAAGGGGAACGCGAGCAGTTCCGCGGACGCATCATCTACAACCTCAGACGGTACCGATTCGAGGGCCTCACATTCGACGAACAGGGTGAGTGAGACTGCAGGCATGCAGCATTGTAAATGGCTTTGCCCATCATATACAAGAATATCTTAGGCTATCCCCCTCCGCTTGATTTTCGAAAGGAGAACAAAAATGAATGATGACCAGGTAGTGTCATGGACTACCGCATTTACTCACATACTATGAGCACTGCCTAGCCCTGCTTCGTGCTAGCCTAATGACATGCGAATGCTGACTGAAAAGTCTGGTTTAGTTGGCTACTCATGACTTGCTTTTACTGAATGAAGGTACATGTTGTCAATTCACTCTTATAACAGCAATATTGAACAATAATTTCGCTAGCGAAAAGAGTCTGTGTCGTAATTTGTCACGCTCTATATGCACTGGTATACACATAGACAACAACCTGAATTGGTTATACCTGATATTCATTGTTACTGTACTGATTCGATATGCCGCCGTACCCTCTACAACGAAAGGACCTTATAAAGCGAGATATTCCATAGGTTTCGGCTCTTCTGTGAGTGTCACTGTGTGCGAGGTTTACTATGAAGTAATACGCATAATTAAGTGTCTCTAAAATCCTTACAGCGTTGTTATAAAACGCTTTAAGGTCACAAAATGTCATGTCTGGCCGCATGTAGACATTGAATGATGTTGATAACAATGCCTCAAAGTACTTTCTATAGACCCTAAATGAACTAGTACGAGCGTTACGAGATCGAGCGCTCCCCGTATGTTAGTGCTATATAAAGTGGGCCTTTGCTCACTACAAAATATATATTTAACCCCATCGCCACCTCTACCTCATGTAATTCAGGCAAGACGTCCAAGAGCCTGGAAATATCCGCTTCCAACTCGACCCGCAACGCTGCGCTCAAGGTTGAGTTCAGCCACTTCGAGGACAACAACAAGATGACCGACTTCAGCTACTCCTTCGAGAAGCGCGGGGACAAGGCTTACAGGAGCAAGCTGTTCTTCCCACCGGAGAAGATGAGAACCATCCAGGTAAGAGAAGTGCGCCTCGCTTGTGATCCCAAAAGCACCCGACAATTGCAGCTTATATACATATATATCTAAAAGAATTTTCTATTTGTGATGATTTGAACAGCGTGTAAAAAAAAGGGCGTAGCTTGCATTAAGCCGTGCAAAGCTTGAAACAGCAAAAGTGGGTGATTTTGTAGACAAATCTGTTTGCTTTCAGGTTCTTTCTAGCCCTAACTAGGTGTTGCAGGTTGTAAGTTGCTTCCAGGGTGATAGGTTTTCACTAAATTATTTCAGATTGCTTCGAGTAATAAAAGGTGAGTTAGTTTGTGCATATTCACTCTAAAAAGACAGGGCACGCAGATGCAGGCGCATGAAGAAAGTCAGTACAACATTAACGCCTACTAACAGCTGAAGGACTGCATGTCCTTCAGTTGCTAGTAGGCGTTAATGTTGTCCCTATACTGACTTCTTTCGTGTGTTCGTGTCTGCATGCCCTGACTTTTTAGAATGAGTGGATTGCTTTCATGTCGATTATCAGCAGTAGAGAGGTTTGACTGAAACCACGGACAAAAGACAGACACGACATGGTTGCTTAAACTACAGAGACAGAAACTCGCACCGAAACCAAGCGTTCGCATCTCTCATAGATCTACGGGCACGTTGTCATTGGCATAGGCCTTTCATTGCTATGGGGTTTTCTCGCAGTCGCCGTTGCCTTTCCACCTCTCTAGTATTCTTTCGTCGTACATACTCGGGGTTTTCGAAGCATCACTGTCGCTTCGCAGCCTTGGGCCAACAGTGGCTTTCTTCAATTTTAATGAAGCACTGGTGAAGTTTTGGGATTTGCCTAACTTCTGTGGCACAGACTCGATTATGATGATGATACTTTCTTGAAGGCCTCACAGTGGCACACGCCCGTAATATCCATGATAGTTTTCTGCAATCGACTCGCAAGGAACACTTTAGTGAACAGCTTTGCTCTTAAAAGAGCATTCTGTAGGGAGTGGACAGCAAAAGGGATTTCTGGGCCAAATGCATCCATGCACTTTATGTGACAGGCTGTAATGGTGACGATAATTTCTGGTAGAATTCAAATTGTTGTGACTAGAGATAGGTTAGTTTATAACTATAAGTGCACTATTTATTAAGGTGGCAAAGTACAGTTGTAGGAGATGTGAACTGCGACCAGAAGCTGTCAACGTGGGTGCTTATTAAAGCCTACAGGGAAAACTCGCAAAGTCACCAACACCGAAAGTGTGCACCCGGTAGGAATGTGACCCCTTCGAAGTGACAGTGAGTGACAGGTACGAGCCGAAACTTCGTGACGGAAACATGAAGTGACGTCATTCTGCACTGCCTTCGTTCAGTGTGAATCTAATTGACTGAGCTGTTCACAATAACTTTTTTTTCCCTCAAAAGTTCTAATGTTTCCTAGCACACCGTAACAAAAATCCTGAACTAAAGTACCTGTATTTACCGGCTGACATTTCTTTATCCGTCATCCTTGCTTCTCAGACGGCAATGAACGAGGTAGGAGAAAATATTTCCGAGATCGACATCTCCAACTTTGTCAGCGACGTGTCCGACATGGCTGTCGTCTCCGGCAAGTACTTGGACAAGAACTTCTTCTCTCCGCTGACGAACCTGCTGTTGGACGAATTCGGCGAGATCATGGGTGAAGCGGTGATTGCACTCAGCGACGTTCTCTACGAAAGTCCGTAAGTGTTCGCGTTAGTTTTCAGCCACTCAGGTCCACAGGCCTTCAGTAGGAAGAGTAGTTTAATCGAATTAGATAAGTATGACTCTAAGTTCTTTAAACGGGAGAGTTATAGAAGCGGAAAGCAACAGAATAAAGTATCGGGTATTTGATATTTCCCAGAACGAAAGGCAGTGGCGCTAAAAAAGAAACACATACATGGCTATGAAAACTTTGGTCTTCGTTCTTCTGCTAGTCAAACAGTCAATATTGATCCAAGACTGCCATTGATGCCGTAAAATTCCTGCAAGAGCTCTTTACAGCTTCATTGATCATGGCTGTGTCTCCGAGGTTTTAACTACACCTAAAAAGTGATGATGGTTTGTGGAGTTTAACGTCCCAAAACCACGACATGATTATGAGGGACGCCATAGTGGAGGGCTCTGGAAATTTCGACCACCTGGGGTTGTTTAACATGCACCCAAATCTGAGCACACGGGCCTACAACATTTCCGCCTCCATCGGAAATATAGCCACAGCAGCCGGGATTCAATCCCGCGACCTGCGGGTCAGCAGTCAAGTACTTTAGCCACTAGACCACCGTGGTGGGGCGTACACATAAAAAGTCAATGTTCAGACTGTAATTCAACAGAAAAAAAAATGTTACCTAGCACACTCTTGTGTAGCATCTCGTCAGGCTTTTGTGTAGTAGCCAACTGGATGCTTTTCCAGTTGACGTATTTCCCTTCTTTGTTCTCCTGCTATTCCATGTTATTGTTCAACCTTATTTGCGGAAAAGCTCCTCATCGACCACTATGGCCAACATCTTAAAAAATCTAATGAAGAACTTTAATGTGTGCGAATGCGTGTAGGTATAGTTGTTACTCGATCCAGATTAGCTTGAATCGTATAGTATGGAACATTGTTAATCACTATTGGTTCTGATCACGATCAAAAGCCACCGCTTGACATCGCTATAAGGCACCCTTTCAGGCTCTAGCTGACTCGCACTTATCAATGCACCCATGCAGGTTCGGAGAGCTCATCGCTCACTTCCAACGCTGGGTCGAATCCCTCTTCAAGATGGCCGGCGAAGAGATCAAGATGTTCATCGAGGAGCTTTCCCGGACCGTGCAGTCGACTGCAGGGTTTCTTCAGCGGGGTTCGCGGCAGGCGTCGCCGCGACGTGTCTCAGCGTTGGACTGAGCTGAGTGACTACGTGTCCCGCATGGTGGACGACGTGCGCAATGCACCTATCGTGCGACAGGTCACCCGCAAGGTGGAGGATGCAGCTGATTACGTGACAGACAAGATCTCCGAGATGCTGTACCGTGCACGCCGGGCCGTCTGGGATGCTGTCGAAGCCATTAAGGAGAACCCTGACTATCCGATCGCTGGAGTCGCTCATTGGCGAGCTCTACGAACCAGTGAGAGCCCCTTTCTTTCTCTCTTTCTTTTTTCGTTTCTTTCTTGCGCTTCGCGGCTAGCAGATAATGATGATGGTGGTGTCTAATGGCCCAAGGGCAACCGGCACTTGAGTTCTGCAGCAATTTTCTTTTACAGCGAAGTTGCCTTAGTCTACCTCGTGTCGTCATCATAGTAGTAGCAGCAGTATCAGCAGCAGTAGTAGCAGTAGCCGGCGTCATGCAGGTTGCCTTATTCACTCCCGTACCCCACTTGGCCTGGGGTACAAGGAGTGAATAAAAAATAAATAAAACAAAAGTATGATGATAATGGTTATGCGAAATTATGGTGATTATGATGCATGTGACCTCACAAGCCAATCACATGGACTGATGTACCTACAGTTTCGCTGTCTGCTCGCGTTATTGTGCAGCCGAGATAGTACTACACGTTTAAGGAAGTGGACAGGTAGAATGGGCCATAACAGCACTGGAAGGCTATCTGACCCTCAAGAACTAATCTTTTATGAAAGCTGTGCTGAAACTGGGGATGCTAAATGTATTGCCTCACGAAAAAAATGACAGTTTCTTTGTTCAACTGCTATGCGTCATGTGGAACCGGCTACAAATCTTTCTTTTTAACCACATAACAGTGTTCAGTCTGTGTACCGAATCTCATGAACTATGTCACGCCATTGCACACCTCAGGGCACATATGGAGCCAACACCGAATTCTGGCAGAACCTTCAGAGGAACCTGAGGGAGTCGGTCACTGCTCGCGACGTGGCCGTGCTGCGCGAGGCTGACCACAAGAACGGCAAGTACATCGTGGACTTCAACCTGCCTACCGACCTGGACTCTATCCGCCAGAGCTGGCATGAATGGCTAGCCGAGGAGGACGACGACGCTGCCGAGAGACGGCCGAAGAAGAGCGCGGAATCGACGCCCGACATGATCGACTACATCAGCTCTATGTTCCAGCGAAAGTGGATGCCACCCTTTGACGGTGAGGGCAAGATGATGTGAGGACTTGATTGATCAGTGAAAGGGAGGTACACCCTGTGTATAAGGGCTCATTTACACTTGCGACTAGCACAGGTTGCGCGACCTAGTCGTAAACTGACTGGTTGCAAATGGCCGCTTTGGTCACAATTCGACCACTTTGGCTAAGTCGCTTGCTGCTTGATTTTTGTCAATCCCGTGACTGCAGTTGTAAACCTCTCAACCAATTAGGTGCGTAGGAACAGGACGTGAGCTCACTTTGTGCGGCAATAGCAATGCGAGCAGCGGTGAATTGTCTGCCAGGACGGGTATAAATCGCATTTAAGGTGTGAACATTGGTCGCCTTGGGTCGTTTTTTGTCCACAAGTCAGAAATGGTCGCACGGCTAAAGCTAATCGCAGCTGTAAATGAACTCCAACTTTGGCTGCTGATGAACTGCTAAAGAGTAAGCGAAGAAAGAAAGAGATAGAGAAAGAAAATGAGAGGAAAAGGCAGGGAGTTTAACCAAACTTTGACTCGGTTGGCGGCCCTAAGCGTGGGGCCGGGCAAAGGAGGAATAGTAGATAGGACACACAAGAAAAAACAGGAGACAGAAAAATAAGAAATGCACCACTAGCGTGAGCACAACACAATACTGGCTTCTAGAATGCGTTGTTGAGCCTTGTAGTAGAATGAGCAGTGGAATAGAATTTTCTTAGTTGTCTCCTCACAGCCGCATAAGCTGCATAAAGAAATGAAGAAGCAGTGCCTCAGATAGAAGTTAAACATTGCACAGTACGGTCTGAACCCTCAGCTGCTAAAGCGGACACTGAAGTGAAACGATAAGTGAGCTTACATTGATAAACTATTCTATGAATTTTCTAGTGCTGTTAATTTCACTATTAAACATATCTTAATAGATGAGACAATCAATGCCATAAGTGTCTAAGTTTCTCCACGAAACCATGTATGTTGTTGTCACGAGTTTCAACGTTTTTTTTTTCTTTGCATTTTGATCAAATTATGAATACATTTCCTTAAACGTAATATGTTAACTCTCTAGCTTCCACAGAAGACAATATAATTCAGTTTTTGCCGGCTACGAACTACGCAAGTCCAGCAGACACCGGCGAAATCGATGAACTAATGGTGACTGGTCCGTGAACTTCTAAGTGGCATTGCCACCTGCATTTTTTGTTGTGTGTGTATTCTCGCTTGCGAAGGGTCGTCTCGCCGCAGGCGTAGTGTTTCTAGAGTCGTGAAAGAGTAATTTACAGATACAAAATCAATCGTCTTCCTCTTTCACGTCCTTTAATTTGTCTCGTGCAAAAAATCTTCAGAAACTTAACTTTTGCTGAGAACGCTGGAGCATGCTTCATGGAAACAAGATTATTCATGTGACGTACGTTCCGCTTTTGTCAAATCACAGGTCAGGCAATGATCATAGGACACCAGCACTTTGTGACCTTTGACGGCACCATGTACTCGGCTACCGGCGACTGCACGTACCTGCTGGCCAGGGACTTCGTCGACGGCAACTTCACCGTGCTCCTAAAGTACCACCCAGAGAACCCTCGCATCCACGGTCGCGTGCCAAAGTCCATCATCGTGCAGCTCGGACAAAGCTACATCGAGATCTTCCCTGACGATGGATCTGTGAGTAACTTCACTAGTGGTTCGAGTTCAACTTGTTGCTGCATAGTTAAAAGAGACAGCAGCGTGGTAAACACGCCAGCACCTGAGCAAGAGGACCTGGTGATTAGCTGTCCCCTTACAGTTGATAAGTTACCCTTTGCTTAGGCTGTGTACGACCGATTCAGTAATGTCGTCGAGTTAGAGGAGGTATGTCTATATGTCTATCAGAATCATTTCCCATATTCTGTTGCGCCATGCGAACTACGTGCGAAGTACAGTGTACAGACCTAGATGATTATCTTAGAGCTACTGCTGTGTGGGATGCAATTGAACGTATAAAACAAATAGCATGACTATGAATAAGTGGTGCTGTATGGAGATGATTTTCTTGCGTGTAAACTGACAACACTGACCTGTGAACTAACAACACCCATGTCTCGCACAGATTGTGAAAATATTTTTGAAGATTGGTTGTCATAGATGGCCAGAACTCAATCTAACCTGCGACAGGTGTTAGCAATGGAACGCATCGCACTGAAGCGTGGTAAATTGGCGTACAACCACAACTTTAGAAGTTTGTAGCATCTAAGCACAATAAAAGTTACTAACACTATTTCAAGACTAAAACAACTATAAACTACAAGATAACAGGAATAAAAGCTAACTGGCATAACATTTTACTGCTAATTACACTTAGTATGGGAGAATGAATGATTACTACATGCGCATTGTTTTGTGTCTTCTAATGACTGATATTTCACTGTGTTTCTTACTATAACCTACACCATGGCACACCCGGCTCCTCATTTGGATGTTGCCCTTGCGTTTCTTCTTGCTATATGGAAAGGCTTGTGTAGTTGTTGGACTTCGTACTGAAAATTTTACTGTAAGGAAGCTGCAGAAAGTGGGCTGACGGGGAACCAAATGAACGAATTTCTTCCCTTTCTTTCGGTGTGCAGATGTTCCTGAATGGACAGGCTGTCGAACTGCCCCTGATCCTCGAGGGAGGCGAGGTGATCGCTCGCCGCGTGGACGACGTGATCACCGTCGAAGACGAGAAGGCGCTGCGCGTCTCCTGCCACCTCTACTATGATGTGTGCACCGTCAAGATCAACGGCTGGTACTTCGGAAACACCGCGGGCCTGCTGGGCACCTACAACAACGAGCGCGGCGATGACCTCATGAAGCCCAAGGGACAGGCAAGTCCACGGGCTATTTTCCTCTAGTACCAATACTTCAATGCGTCATCAAATGCTCGTCGTCGCAGAACTTGAGTGTTTCCGCTGGTAGTGCTTACATTGAACTTTTTATATTCTTATTGCACTTATATACTTGTATTGTACTTCTTATACTTATTGAACTTCTTTTAGTTAGTGCAGCTCTCGTGCATGTTTCATTAGTCTGATGCATATCAATCAGCTCTCTCTCAAGTTTTAACGCACTTCATTTATCGAAGTCATTTGGTGGTTTCGAGTATGGCAGAAATGAATTAAGATATGAACATGCGAATTTAGTGCAGTCGCAGGTCTTTCCTGCATTCTGGCAGATTTCTGAGTACATATTTCCTCGACACGAAGTAAGGCAGTAGGGTGCATGAGCAGTCTGCTGATGTGTGTCGAGGTAGCGCGTGCGACTACACCCTTATCAGTCAGTCATTCGATGTTCCAATGTGGGCCGCACCCACATTGGAACAAGAAAAGGAAGAACATGCCCCACCCCCATACTGGGGGCCCTCTGGACAGCCCAGATTGCGGCCTCCCGGTGCGAGCTAGTGATTGCCGTCCTAGAGGCGTCCTCTGTGCTGAGAGGCTCGCCATCGAGCGGCGCAGTGCATTGCCAGAGCATGTGGGATAACATGAATCGTCTCTCATCGCAATGCGGGCAGTGAGGTTTTATGCTGTCAATAAACTTACTGTTATGAGCAAAGTTTGCAATTGCTGCTTGAACGATGTACCCACCCACCTCTCCCATCAACTTTCTACTGGCGCTCCTTCACCCTACGAAAAATGGTCGGGGCGTCTCTCCTGTGCTTGAGGAGCTATCTACTGCAGGCTTCACACGTCGGGCTATGTTATCGCATGTACCCATCGTGCTACGGTTTTGGCCGGTTCGTTTAACCTCTGCTTCAATAGCATTCGTTCCCCTCGCTTGAGCGCTTTCACTCGCGCGTAGAACATGCGATGTGCAGGACGATGTTAGTATTAATCCGTACCTAATACTGAACATGACAGTGATGGCAAAAAGAGAAATTGTCAAAGCTTGCATTAAACCACACAAGTCTTGAAACGGTGAAAATGGACGATTCTGAAGATTAATTTGGTTGTGTCTAGGTCGCTTTTAGGTCGTTGCTACGCTCTAGCTTGGTGAAGCTAGGCTGTTTCTACGTTGTTCTTAGTGCAGAGCGCAAGTGGGTGAACTCACTCCGACTCAGATCGAGCCGTGAGTCGGAGTCGAAGTGACTCCGGTTGAGTGATATTTTCATGAAATTGAGTCGGAGTAAGTCTGGTTAAAGAAAATTTCTGTGAGTGTGAATAGGAGCGAGTCAAGCTCAGGAAAATTTTCACGAGACTCAGTCCAAGTGAGCCCAAAGCTCGAAATATATTTTGTGAGCGAGTCTGAGTGAGCTCCACAACTTTGCCAACCTATTGTGAAGGAAGGTCGAATCAAACCACAGACAGTCACAGACATGAAACTAATGTCACGAACTCCAGGGACAGAACCACGTGTTCAAACCAAAAACTCGCACCTTTTGTAGATTTATGGCACATTGTGGTTTACGCTGACCTTCCATCGCTTTGGGGCCTTTCACAGCTGCCGTTGCCTTTCCGATTTCCTTGTTTCCTTGCATTTTTTCACTTTACACACTCGGGGTCTTCGGCTCGCCACCGTCGCAGCCATTTCTTGACCTAATTCTTGGCTTCTTCATATTTAATAGACCAGTGATGAGTAATGCAATCTACCTAATTTCTTAGCTGCATACCCATTTATGATGGTGGCAATTCTCGCTTGGGCTCCACAGCACACACCTGTCGGGCTCACGATTTGCGGCCAGCTCAAATAGCTTTGCCGTTAAAACCATTACAGAGGCATCGTAATTGCTGTCGCAAAAAAAATAAACCTCGCGCTTCTTGTCATGCTACTGCAGGTGACCAGCAACGTGGCGCAGTTTGTGAAGAAATGGGAAACCAGCCGTGGCTGCAAGGGACCCGTGAGCGTGCTAAGCGAACAGGTAGCCGTCGACTCCGAGGGCTACAATCTGTGCGAGAAATACTTCAAGGACGACGACTCTCCGCTCGCCGATGGATTCTGGCAGGTGAAACTGGGGCGCCACCTCGAAGGACCACTGTAATTTGAACGGAGTAATTTGAAGCAGCCACAACAATCGCGGTTTTTCTTCACCTCTCCGCGTCTCTCATAATCATATGGTGGTTTTGGGACGTTAAACCCCACAAATCAATCAATTTCTTCACCTCTGATGTGATTCGTTGCATAGGTAGTACAAACAGGGATAAAATGCTTCAGGCAAACTGGCCATCGTTTCGATAGGTGAACATATCTTTGTAAAGGTTGCCTTGTCACTCTTGGGATCTCAGTTTTGTAGGGTTTAGTCATCGACATCGGCGTCATGTGGCTATGGCCTATAAGCTGACGTTTCGCAAAGAGTTCTTCTGACAAGTGTTTCCTTCAGGGAAACTTGTTGCAGTAGTACTACAAAACTACATGTGATGTCTTTTTCGAAAATTCGACGCATTTTTTCCCCCCACTTTCCCTCTAGGAGTCTCCCGAGCCATACTTCGACCTTTGCCTCCGCCACATGGCCACGCCAGGAATCGAGCCGCGCCACGCAATCTGCAACATCTCAATGGCGTACCTGCTCCAGCTGGAGAAGTACTCCATTTCTGCAAACCTTCCTTCCGAATGCTGTGAGTTGCTATACACACGGATCTTAGTTTCATAGGAAAACTAATGCAAAAAAAAAATGTTTGATCTCTTCATCATAAAATCGGAAAATAGGAAAGTAAAACGTGGTCTTACAGAAGTAGTTTATTATTTACTGCGCATTACTATTAGAGAGCTTGCACTATGTCTATTGGTGTTTGACAGCTATAACATCATTTAATGTGAATGCATCCACGTTAACGCTTAGTCATACATGTCCATCCCGATGACTGCCATTCATCAACAATTATTAAACAAACCCTTGTAGTCATTGGTGGGTGCGGAACTAGAGAAAATGGTATGACAGCCAGAAAGACGCGACTAATTGGACACCGAACTTGGGCTAGGGTCACCTACTCGCGGCATAGTAGAGTTATTGAATACCACGGCTTGACCAGATGGAAACGCAATGCTCGTGTCTTGCCTGTTGGCCGGCTACGATTTTTCGGCAAGCGTAAGTGGCGAACGCGGAGTTTAGACATCCAGACGAAGCAGGCGCGTTGCTTTATGCGCTGAAGAGCTGTTTTTTGGTGTAGGTGAATGCTATGGGTGACACCTATGCTTGGGGTAAGATCGCCACCTGCGGGGTGTGTTTGGCATTCACAAAATTTCACATATTCCTATCATAATCGCGCCGAATGAGACAGATGTCTAGCAATAATGCATTCAAGGAACTAATGGTGGATGCCATGATCATGATGCATTACCGCACTTTACCAAGAACGCTGAGAGGACTGTGGTAGATATAAAAGGCGTATTTTTTAAGGGCTCATATAGTATGTGACCATGGCACAGGGGATAACGTGCTCGGCATTTGTTGCCATGGACCCAGAGTTTACGGGTTCAACTCCCTATGACGAAACATTTTTTTTCTTTCATTTCGGACCGTGCGTATTTTTTTGACGTCACTTCCGTGAAGAGAATACGTCATTGAAGTCTTGGTGAGCCCCGGCACAAAAAACTTTCATGTTGAAATATAAAGCAAATGAAGTAGACAGATGACTATATATTACGCTCTTCACTGCCCTTGGCAATGACATTTTGCTAAACAAGGTATAAGTTCAGCAGTAGACGAAGATCTGAAGGGACAAAAAAAAAGCCTTGGACAGGGGTGGATCGGTGAAGTGAGCATTTCAACAAGTGATGTTTTTTTCATCAAGAGAGCTAGTTGAAAAATACAGGCTGTGTTGAAATAGTGGGTCTATCAACATCTTCTTATTCAAGGATTCTTCAATATTTTGCTAAGCAGCTTGAACATCTGGTTGCATCTGCTGCAACATTGCTTTTGAAACCAATGTCCATGCAATTTGTCTTCATTCGCTTTTTCATTGTTTGTTTGCTTCGACTTCCGTTGAAATATTACTGTACCTTTCGATCCATCATTGGCTTCATCCTCTTCATCATCAACACCTTTTATTTACTTTCTTTACCAGCCCCTTCCCTTACCTAATACTGAGTAGCAAGTCAGAAAATTGATTCAGGCTGACCTCTCAGCTTTTCTCTCATAATAAACCTCTCTCTCCCTTTCACTGTACCTTTGTAACGTCATACTCTGTACGTTGAAAGTGTTCGGGCTGAAAGGCGTCCACATGTGACGTATGATGTAGTTGCACTTCGACCACACTCACTATAGATGCAAATCAGCTGATCGTATGTGAGGAACTCGGAGTAAGTAATGGTGCTAAAGACCCCTAACTATTGGAGCCCCAAGCTTTTGCATTATTTTCTACTTTAGCTGGTGAATAGACACACAGAGAGAGAACATGAAACTACGCAAGAGCTGGGAGCCTCAATGTCTTGGAAGGTGCTAGCATTAGGCACTTTTAGTTGGGCACACGCAACAATCCTACACCCGCAGCACTATACGTTGCGTACGCTGCAAGCAAAGCACTTGCCAACACATTTAATTTACCTTGTCGACCATACTGGGATACGTTTCGTTCAACTAGACGTGCCATATTGGAAATAAAACAGCTTTCAAGGGCTTCTTGGCATCATCATGTAGTAGCGGCTGTGACAATGACCTTAGGAATTCAAGTCAAGCCGAATCATTGGATCCGCAATTTTTCATTCGAGATCTTGCGAGAGTGTCGTCAGGTGTTAAGTAGCTAGCACTATGTATTATTACATTTGCATATGCCAGGTTTTCTTTTTTTTTTTTCAGGCGTACGCACGCATTCGTGGAATAGGTACGTTACGTCCTGCACATGCGCACTTCTCTCCCGTAGTCATGATACGTATGTCGGCTTGTTACTTACACCCAATTAAAAGTGTCTGTTGAAGTTATCAACCGCCTTCTTCACGGTGCCACGGTGTACACGCCCTTCCTTTCATCGATCTTGGAGGCTTTTGACCTGGCTGGCTCGATCATCCTGCATCGTCCCCCGAAACTTCGTCCCTCTCCCCTTTCACTTGCCAAAATGGCATAAGGCAACACAGGAACATAGAAAGGGTGGATATCAAAGGGGCGCCAATTGTTAATCTAAAGACCTAAAGAGGGTGGGGGTTGTACAGGTGTGGTGGGGGATAGGAAGGCTGTAAATTGCTGTGCAGTACTGCTTGAAAAATGGCGCTGGCTTGCCACTTATGTCAGTTACAGACCATACCGCACTCACCGTTTTTCTCTCCATTCCGTGAATCCGCTCAGACACGTGTTCACTACCTGGAGGCGCGACCCTGAAATTCGGCGACTACCTCACCCTAGGCAGCGACAACAGCGCACCGCGTCGTCCGTCAAGCATGGACATTGTTCTGGTCGTCGAGGAGGACGCCTGCCATGCGGACGTCGTGCGCGAGCTGGACAACACCATGAGGATTGTCGACAAGGAACTGCTCAGCGCGGGATTCTCAAACAACAGGTGATCTCTCACAAAAAAAAAAAAAAACACCTTTCATGTGGGCCACTTTGAGGCCGACTTTGTCATATAAACATCTTAGGCCAGTACTGGTAGACAGGGACATTCGCACTAAAGGGAAAGGCCTCATTAGAAATCAGGCGGAAGGTATCATCTCTTCTTAAGCTTCATTGGATAAACTTTGTCTTATCTGATGGCTGCTGGAGATAAAGATGAATCAAATACTCTTATTGTGATAGCAATTATATGAATACTCTTGGCTAGATTTTGCCGCTGGCATCGGTGAAACTCACCGTATATGTATATCTATCTATATATGTTTAAACGCAAGAAAGAAAAATAATTCAGAACAAAACTCCGCCGCGTGAAATGGAACTTGGGACCTCTAAGCTGTGAGTGCAAGGCGTTAACCACTGAACTACGCAGCAGCACCTCCTTCAATGCTCAAACGGCAAGCTATTTATATCTACCACTTACCGCTGATGACGGGCATCTAGGGGAGAACTACTATCGTGTTTTCAGCATTACTAGCGAGATGGCACAAGAAGCACACGTTGCCAGATTGTCACAACACAGTGGTATGCGCTCTTATCTGTCAGGCGTACTTTGCCTCATGGAGAGAAGACGCTCTCACGAGCGCTCACTTAACTCCTGGTGTGGACAATCGTACGCTTAAACCTTCACCGGAACGATTCTGTCATAGTTACCAGGCGCACAATGTTCACTGCACTCATAGCATAGTCTCCGTTTGCGAAAAGGGCGCCTTTTTCAGACATAGCGAACTAGCAACTGAGACGCTTATTCGCGTTCATCTGTACCTGTGAGTATGTTTTGTGCGTTATTTGTGTGTGAGAAACGTGTACCATGTTTTGATCTGCTTGCCATTCTGTGCGTGACCTTCCAATTTGTTGCTATCGCATTCATTGCTTCACCTTTGCGGCGAAGCTGTGACTTAGGGCCGGAATAGGAGCAGACCAGCCAATAGTCTATGAATGATAAGTAGCATAAGCGACATGTGCAGCTTCTCCATGAAAAAATGTGTGCATTTACTTTTTTTTAATTATGCAGTATCTCAGAAACAGTTCAAGATATTAATGTAGTATTAATGATGGTCACCATGGTGCTAATTGGTTGCTGCACAATTATAGACTACTGCAAATGAGTTCAGCAGAAGCCCACAAGGAGGTTGAAGGGTTATTTATTATGAAAGGAAACGTTAACCACGAGTGATAGTCAGCTTTCCTTTTGAAAACGAGTAATGATGATATGCGTCTGTGTAAATCAACATGCATTGTCTGACTATATCATTGCATACATAAACTTTCTTCATCTGTGTCATTCCTACAAGTACGTTGCATTGTGCATGTTTACTATAGCATTTCATTTTGGGTGTGCTGCATTGTGTCCAAGTTAGTTTCAAATTGGTTTACCAGCTTCACGTAGAATCATTCGAGCAACTTGCCAAACTATCCTATACCCTTTAAGGTTAACAGTCACTAGTTGCATTAAAAGTTATTAGACTATTCAGTCATGGCAAGTACAACTTGGGTTTATCCATAACCTCACTCATCACTGTCCCTTTCTACTCTTCCGCAGGTTCGCCTTGATCGGCTTCGGCCATGGCAGCGGCCACAACAGCATGCCCCATGTACGCACCGCCCGCGGTAGCATCTTCTTTGAGTCGCACAACCTGCCACTGGCCACGCAAAAGATGCGGCTCGAGGCACCTGCAAACTCTGATGGCCGACCCGTGAACAAAGACGTGTTTGACGCCATCCGCTACGCGTCACTGCTGCCGTTCCGCGCCAACGTTGCCAAAGCCATCATCGTCATCGCCTGCGCAGACTGCAAAGAGGAACAGAGCGAGGTGAGAAATGCTACCCCGAGTGGTTTATAACGGACAGTTTTACATAACCGACGTGTTACGTGAAGTGTGCCCTCCGAAATTGGACATACACGTGGCGAATATTGGAGGCCACATCTAAGGCATATTAGTCTTAAAACAAGGGAGGCTTGCATGATGGAATAAATATGATCATAAAGGTGATTAGAAATTATAGAGGCCTTCGTTCTGAGGCAACACTCCTGGACAATCACTTTCTGTGACACTTTCACAAAGATTTCAGCATGTTATCCAAGCACACGACGACACAACTTCATTTAGCAATAAAAAGGCGAACCCACGAAATAAAACAGGACCGGCCGTCTCTCGTGTGTTCACCTTTTTTTAGGGCGAAATGAAGACGTCCTCTAAGATTCATCAAGTCGCCCAGCAACTAGTTTTTTTTTTGGCAATCCTGACGCAGCCCACACGATAGCACCGAATGTCCCCTACACTGGTCTCTTGAAGTCTCGCCAAAGTGATAGTATTGCTGAAAGTGACCACTCACTTACCATTGTCTGCACAGAACTAAATGATGATGACGATATAGCTCTTGGTTTGTATTCTATGGCTACTAATAAACTTTAAAGCTCTGGAACCTTTTTTTTTTGTGCATTCGCAGATGACCAGTAAATGCACATGCTTAATTTCTAGCATAAAGCAAATGAGAAAGATAGAGACCCGGAAAATTCAAACAAGTAATCACATTCTGTTTCCTCTCAGCTGTCGTACTCGGATATCCAGACTCAACTTCTTGACCATGGTATCACCCTTCACTTCGTTTCCGACAAGCGCATCGAAGTGCGCAAGAGCATCATCAAGGGCAAGGGCATCTACGGTAAGTGCGAGATCATAAGAGTGTGCATGTGACCTGAAGTCATTGCTTAGTTCAAAGATGGTCGGAACTTGTACCCATAGGCGTGTGCACGGGTAGAGGGGGGTCCCCCCTCTTTATCACCTTTGTGGGGCACAAAGTTCACTATACTTATACACAGGGGAACTGTCCTATAATTCTTTAAAGAGCAGGATTATGGCTATGCATGATAATGGCAGCTGAAGACCCCTCATCTTGAATTCCAAAAACTGTTTACGCCTTTACCTCGGAAAGCCAAGGGAGAGGACAATGCGTGGAAGCATGTCATCGTCGTTTTGTCTTAAGTTTTTTATCCAATGTGAAGCCAGTCATTAGGACAAATCAATGGGACTGGAAGAAAAGCGGGAGGTGATGTGACGAGTGTTTGCCCTCTCCTTTATAACAGGGAACCTTGCGGAGGCCTATGCCAGTACCCTACACCTTTTGCGCCTATACACCCTCTACACCTTTTTCACACTACTTGCATGCAACACTCTTTCTATACTAATGACACCGTCGCCTGACAGGTGTGGACGCCGACTCCGTCTACGGCAGCAAGGACGTGAGCCAGAAGATGCTCCTGGGACAGCCTGATCTGAGGCCCCAAGTGGCCGTGGCCAAGGACATCTGCATTGCACTCGCCCAGGAGGTTCACGGCAGCTTCTTCAGCTCGGCTATGCTGCGCTCAGATGGCAAGAACTGGAAGACAGTGTTTGCGCGACGAGTCGCCAAAGCCCTGAAGCCCGCCAAGCAGTACGGAGGTGCGGAAGACTACTGCGAGCGCTGTGAGTGCACGCACGGCTCGGACGTACGACCGCAAGTCGTTTGCAGGCCGTGCAGGCCACTGAAACCCAAGGTGCCGCTCGCAGTAAGTACAATTGTGCTTCAAACAAAATACATGATGCTTACTACTGCTGTAGGTGCGAAGAAACAAAAAAAAAAGGACTGGTGACAGAGACACAACTAAAGAAAGAGATCCCCTTGGCTACTGTGGGCGGGGCTCTGGTCGAAGGCCCCACTGGCTACTGCGAATTGTCGGGCCTGATTAAAGGTCGCCAATCGGCTTTCAAAGTACAGTTTGGAGAGTCAGACCTCTCGACCAATTTGCGAGTCTGCCAGTCACTGTGTCTCCTCGCATGTTAGTAAAAGGCCCAGCCCCAAGCGCATTGCACCAGGTGCAAGTCAATATTCGACAAAGTAGGGACTCGCCGAAACTCCCCAAATGGCCCAAAAATATTGTTGATGCGTACAGCACTGAGATGGCTCTTCATTGCCATTAGCGCCCAACAAAAGAGAAACATTAGCCTAATCACTTAAGATAACTATGGCGCCAGTAGGCTTCTAAAGGTCACTTTGTGTACCCGAGTATAGTATGTGTATGTTCATGCATTGATCTTGCTGATGCTATATGCTGATAGTGCAGTTACTGTTAATGTTACTGGCAATGCTAATGTTGTTGATCATGCGTTGCTACTGCCTCAGTTTGACGCTAATGTTAAACTAGTGTAGATTTTTTCAAAATCAAACCGAGTGGTTATGTAAAACAGGTTGAACGAAAGGTGCTATTCAAAGACCCATAAAACACTGTGGATGCGTGGCCAAGCTGGCAATAATGGCGAGGTTTAAATCGTCTCGCAGCACAAAAAGCTAATGCCATCTTATATATTCTGTACGCGAGGGTCGCAAAATCTCACGGAGAAATGTGTATTGTAAGGGGAACGGCTATAGCTAGCGCAAGCAAGTCAATCTTTCCTGCAGCGGCAGTGAGTGTGAAGCTTCTAAGCTTTTTCAAAGTCCACATTTTCTGTGCGAAAAGTAGAACGGTTGCATAGATCTTGCTAATATTGAAGAAGACAGGCAAATTGGGTAAGTTGGTGAGGTTCCATGGTAAAAATATAAAATAGTGCCTTTTTTAAAACAAGATGAAGGAAAGCACCGTGTAATGCTAATACTGCTGTTACTGTTGATGCTATTGGCAATGCTATAATGTGTCTGATCATGTGTTGCTGCTGGCTCAGGTTTGATGCCAACGTTAGGGCTAGCTGATGTTATTGATGTTATTTAACATGCAGATTGTTTGATTTCTCGTGGTTGCTTTCTTTTTCAGCTGTACACAGCAGAAGACTGAACATTCACATCGCATTTACTTCGAGGTCATTAGAGAGGGATGACTGAAATCAGCATTTTTTTCGCATTTAATAAACTGTATAGGGATGTTTTTAAATATTTCTTCGTGTCTTCGGTCTCTCTCTGCCTCTTGCTTGCTTTATTTTTCTTGGCTTCTAGGGGTACTGACATGGAATATTTCACCTATCATTTTCTTGTGTCAAGTAATAGGCCAAGCCCCTGAGAACTTAGGAAATGTACCAGCAAGCATGAGTGCGTCCTGAAAAATTGATTATAGTATGCTTTTGAAAGCTAATTTTGGTGTTTAGTGCACCCTGACGTCATGACATGGTATCAGCAGTTAAATACCGTACAGAGCGAGGTACAGAGCGAGGTATGTGCAAGCGCAAGTTTTCGTGACGTTTCTCGTCCGCACGTCACTTCTGCGATCGTCTGCTTCGTCTGCTGCACATAACTACCCAAGTAACCACGGATATCCGTTAGGAATACGTCGGGACGTCCGTCTCGGATATTCCGGACATCCATCAGATATCCGCGGACGTACAATGTACGTCCAATGGACATACTGTGAATGTACAAAGGTAACAAATTTGTACGTTCGCTCGTCATCCGTCTTGGACAGCCGACACGGACATTAAAAGGATTATCAGGGGATATATTATACAGATACACAGGTACATATATGTTCATAATACATATGTATATTGATTTCTTATTCATTGTGCATAAATAATCTACCCCCTAATGGTCCTTTGAATGTCCATGCGGCCTGTCCGAGGCTGATGTTGAGTGAGCATAAATACCTAGCTATATATATATGTGTGTGTGTGTGGTAATATCGAGGGTCCTTCAGGTTTTGTGCACTCTCGCAATTGATGCTTGAACGTCTTTCACAAGAACCCTTTTGCTGAAGATTAAATATCAAAGTGCTAAAATTATTTCTGGTGCAATGCTAAATTAGAACAAGATTCATGGACACAAATAAGGTGACGACTAGGGATCCGGAGTGCCAATTACCAACTGTTTATTGATGGTATAAGCTAGAAAAAAACGTACAATCATGCACAGCGACGTGAAAGAGTACAGCGAACTTTCATGCCACTGTGCATGCTTAAAAGCTTACTTGTTTTCAAGCTTTTACCATCGATAAAACAGAATAACATATGTTTGGCAAACTTAGGCATCAACTTGCCCAGGAACAAGTGCTAAAGCGTAAGAAGATTGGGCTCACACAAGGTCTCAGATGCAATAAAACGTTTATTATCATTAGGTCAAATCATGTACTCTAGTAATAATGAATAAATAAATTAAGCAAACACTAATTAAATCAAGTACGATGTTCAAGTTGAAGTGTGAACACAATGATGAGAATAGAAGCACAGCTCCACACATTTAAGAAATTCTAGCAGTGAAGGTAATACAATGAAAGAAGTTAACTGTGATTACTTCATTTTGTAATATCAAAATTAAAACTTACAGGGTCAAAAAGACACAAGCTTTGGTACAAACAAAAAATGTCAAGAACATTTAGCAAGAAATAAAAAAAGGTTTAAGTTAAAAACTTACAAAATCCAGTATGATGCAAAACACCATTCCAATACAATACTGCAGAACAGGCGACAAATATGACTGTTGCAAAAATACAAAAACAAACATGAAATGGGAAATACCAAAAATGTATAAGACAAATTCACATCATGGAAAGCACAGGGCTCAATTCCATCACATGCTGAAAATGGATGACACTGTTTTATTGTTTATTAAGTACAATAAACATTAATCATACATAAAACTGTCATTCGCCCAGAAGCATTTTAGAGCTCTACATAGAACAATGCAATGGGACAATTAAGATACCCTTATGACATGGATATCTCTTAAACACTATGAACAGTCCTCACATAGACATCAGTTTTAATTCAAGCACAACCAATACACCTCTTTATCTTTGGAGAATGTGAATGTTTATTGCACAATAGTGGCTGTTTCGTTTCACTGCTAGCACAATATGGTGACCAAATAACTGTCATATTAAAGGGGTAGTGACATCATTTTTTTTAAAGGACAGTTTACTCTGCCCTACAAATCTCCTGTGTACAGAGATAGCTCGGAGCAAGTGTGAAGTACAGCAAATGCCGACATAGATTATTTTGGAATTAAAGCCAGAAGGGTGTCTTGAAGGGCCAGTTGATACACAATTTACATGAGCGCATGACTCAAACTATGTACCTAAGAGACGACAAAAATTTATTGTCCTTTCTGTGCTGAGCAAAGCACCAGGAAACACCCAGCACAAGACAAAAAATTTCCGCCATCCCTTACGCACGCAGTGCGAGCCATGCACTCAAGATCGTTAGCAAAGCAAGCGTAAGGCTTTCTCGGCAGCCTATGCGAAAAAGTAAAGTAACCCCAAAGAGCATGCGTGCATAAAGAAGCACAGGACACAGTACGAGGAATGCATTAACAATGTATTACGACATTCCGTTGTCATGTGGCTACACCTATGCTGGACAGACCAGTCAATGTTTGAACGATCACCTGAATGAGCACCCGTTCAATCTCAAGACTTCAACAAGCAGCACCTTAGCAGCCCATTGTTCCTCGTGCAGCTGCACCCAGCTCTTCCATAATTGAAAGATGCTTTCACGATATCCTAACAAGATCGAGTGCGAAATCAACGAAGCCTTCCATATTAGGAAGAAAGGACACGTGTGTCAGTGAGCCTCCACTTGCCCTCTTCGAAAAAGAGAACATGTTTCTGAGCTGTTAACTTTGGATATTTTGACTCGTGAGAGATTCATCTTGCTTTTCATCTTTATGAGCAAGTGTTGTAGTCCTATTTGTTTTTGCAGCTCTATATTTTCCCGTGTAATAAACACACACACAGTTGTTCCTCAGTTCCATTGTTCCTCAGTGTTGTGCGGTCATTCTTTCTTCGTCCCAATTTAGTGCCATTTTTTCCTCAGTACTAGTAAAGCCAATTTTCCCAAGGTGCACCTCGCGACATCAACACTAGATTGACGTCAGGCTACAGTACTAATTCTCGCGACTTCATACAGGATACTCGCCTGGCCATGGGAACGTCACAATTTCTTGCTCCAGCATGTGAAGAGCTCATATCGCGACTTGAGAGTACAGTAGGAACCAAGACTAGTTTTTATTAACATGTTGTAATTACTTTTTCAGGGAGCACTTACACTTATTTTCTAGGATCAGCAGGGTTTGGCTTAACATTTAACGCAACGGTGGTCTAGTGTCTAAGGTACTCGGCTGCTGACCCGCAGGTTGCGGGATCAAATCCCGGCTGTGGCTGCTGCATTTCCGATGGAAGCAGAAATGTACGCCCGTGTGCTCAGATTTGGGGGAACGTTAATGAATCCTAAGTGATCGAAATTTCCGGAGCCCTTCACTACGGCGTCTCTCATAATCATATGGTGGTTTCGGGATGTTAAACCCCACATATCATTTAACGCAAGAAAACAACAAATTAAAACTTTCATGTAACAACCACTTAACTGGGAACTCCGATGTTTTATCGATATTAACTGATTTCAATAAAACTTTAAACATGTGTTTTCATTGGTACCATGATAATATGTGCCAAATTATGCACCCTAAGTCATTCAGTTTCTTGGAAAACAAATTTTAAAATTAGTAGCCGATTCTGCAATCGCACTAGTAAACGCAGGCCACCCTGTGCATGTGACGTAAGGGCCTACTCTTTTTGGAAAACGCTGAATTTCCCAGCAGACAGATGCAACGTGCGCTTTCTTCTACGAGGTGACAACGCTAGCACAGTTCAGTTTTGTCAGCTGTATACAGCGTGTTCGTCATCGTTGATGTCGGTCTTACAATATTGAGCAACAAGGAAATCGATTCGGGGCATGTCAGGTGCTTCACGCGCCGGCGGCTCGAAATCAAAAATCGATGCTTCTGCGCTGAGATAGTAGCTGCAATCATTGCTGAACTTGTCACTAGTAAGTTCAGACGCTCTGGCACAGCTTGCTTCTGCGTCGATATCGCCAACTTGCTTTTCGCGCATCAGAAGAGGAATGTGAGCTATGTGTGCACCCTGGCAAGCCGTGGCGGGGTGTAGCTGATCTCGTGACGTCATCAGCGACGAATTCTCGAGACGTCATCTGATACCCACCATAGATGACAGAGCAGCTTCCCGTTTTGGTCTTTGTTTTGACTTGTCGCTTATTGCTTAATTAAAATTACTGACGAGTGTCTGGGCAAAATTAACCACCTTAGCCTTTGCAGGATTGTCAATACTATTCGAAAACAGCATTATCTCAGTATGGTCGAAAATGCACCGGAGTTCCCCTTTAAGAAAACAAAGCATCTCTTCATAGCAAAGCGGTGTGTCAAAAACTGTTGAAGGGTAATCTATCCTAAATGCAATCAATTCTTCTTTTAGTGCCCTCAAGACAGATGAAGCAGTGGAATAGTAAAAAATTTTCCGTGCCAGGGTAACCTAGCAACCTTGCGTACATTTCTTAATGGCCAACATTTAACACCAGAAAGCTGTGAAACCACAAAAACATCAATGGTGCCAGAAATAAATGGCTTCTCATACAAGTTTTCTTTTACTTTGAATTCACGGACAATGATGCAGGGCACCTGCATACCTCTCAATCTTGCAAAACTCTCTACAATAATGACAGAAGAATCTATCATGCAGCAGTTGTTAGGAACCTCTACACTAAGCATGAAGCTATCAAATGTAGCCTGTTTGTACAAGGGTGGTTCACAGGCGGGTAGAAAGGGTACATCTGAATGTTCTTTTGAAAACTTATATAATTTTGTCAAAAGATGGAAGATCAGCTACCTCTCCATCTCGCTCCTTCAAGCGATTGTATAGTTGGGCAAGTGGAGTTTTGTGGCTTTTCAGAAGCCGCTTGAGGAACTGCATAATGTTCTCGAATGGAAATGCACTGAAAGTGTCCAGTGCTTGCGTACATCATTTCCAAGATGTAATAAGCAGTGAATATTATAGGAAACCTGGTCACTTCCATACAACTTTGCAAAACCTTTTACAAAGTGCTGTAGAAGGGACTCTGCATAATCAAGATGCTGCTGGCACAGACTGGCATTTGA